AACGAAATTCCATGGATATGATTGAAATCCGATTAAAATATGCTTTTTCCAATACGTAAGCAAACCATATGAATTGGTTTGCTTTTTAGCAATTAAACATTAGGATGCATTCCAACTGCACGCATCCTTATCTCCAGGTTGTTGATTACCGAAGTTCTTTTGTGTCCGAGAAAATATCTCGGCGCAGGGAACGTTAAGTTTTTCTGAGCTTCAATTTAAGGTAACGTGGTTGTGTGAACAGAAAATGCAGTATATATATATACATAGTAACGTGAATATGTTAACTTCTGCAGTCGTAATTCCATGTTGTATGCAAATTGGTTACTGCATGTTATACTTGATCACTATTTATGGTATGTACTTTATCATCTTACGCTAGAATAACAAAAACTGTTTATTACTGACTTTTGACTCATGCAAACGGTTTTCGACTTAAACTATCATTTCGTATTGTCAGATTTTGTAATATTGTTGCGACGTGAATTAAACGGTCATCTAAAAAGTTATGGTCAACAGTATAGTCAGCAACGAGCAAGTGCTGACAAAAGGAGGTTGTTTCTAAACAGTTTTATGGAGAATAGTTTGGTTTTGAGTACCTTTTGAGTTAATTTACTCTCTTTCATTATCAGTGAAATTCTGGCTGCACTGCAGAAGTATCTAATTCAATATTTTATTTGTAATGCATAGTGATTTTTGTAAAACAATGAATTTCTTTAGATGAGAATCCATGGAAATTACCCGTGGAATGAATGAATTATACTTTCGTAAGTCAATTATGAATAAATACTTGTGAATGATATACAACAAACATGTGACAAAAAGGTCGACAGGCCAGTTTGGCATTAAAGAGCGTAACTATGATCTGGAAGTGAAAATTATGAGATCTGTGTACGAATCTACAAGAGCTAAGAATGTAAAATCGTTAAGGGCAATACTTTTCCCAATGTATTACAACTTTGCATCAAAATTTTCCAAGACAAACTTTCCAATTTTTTCATTGCTAGAAATAATGCTTCATCTTTGGTAGTATGTTTCCCACGGTTTTTTATTTGAGTTGTACTACCCTTATTTATGAATCAGATCGAAAAACAAGAAAAAAACGCACAGATGTGCATATCACGAAATGAGCAAGACTCAAAACATCAAATGAAGAAAATAACTGTACACAACACTTAGTGAAAGCAAGCAAAGTGACGTATGAAGTTGATAGAACTCACACCCGAATTTATTATCATAACAAACTGAATGGCAAAAAGTGAGGGAGAACTACAAAAGAATGATGCACTAAACGATCATGAACAATTAATCATCATTTATAGTTGTTACATAAACGCTTCGCATTGTTGCTTTTGAGCATTATGGCACTATTTGAAATAAATTAGACAAGCAACTAACAAAATACGTACCTCTAAAATAGAATATGATAACTGACAAACAAGTTGTTCCATCTCATTGCGAATACCTGTTATGGTCTGTAATATTTTCTGGTTTCAACTTATTTTTGAAGCAGTTGTCAAATGAATACGCAAACACAACTGCAGAGAAAATACAAGTTAGAAAAAGCTTCTAAAATATTACTAAAACATTTAATAAGATTACTGAAATATTATAGATTAATTACTTTAAAAACCTAGAGAATTCATTCTATTTTAACTGCAGTATTTTAAACAAGTTAATAGTTTTTAACAAAACTTCTTTAGTACCTTGAGCCCAGAAACATTAGCAAATAGACTTAAAGAAATTGACCAGGAAACTCAAGAAAACAATTAAAAGTATGGCTAAATACTTAATTAAGATAGAGACCTGTTCGTTGAAATTATATTTGAAAATCAAAATGCCAAAAAGTTTACGTCGACTACATTTTTCAATATAACTATATTTCTAAACACCTATTATAATAATATGACGTTCCTCCAACTTCTAGTTTACGATCATCTCTCCCCAGTTCTTTAACCTTTTTGATAAATTCTTTTTCTTGAACCAAGCAATAAGATCTGGATCTTTTGGATCACACTTCCCTACATACCTGAATTACAGCAGTTTCAACAGTAAACAAATATATACAATTTGAAAACATGATTTCAGATTTTTTGTTTGGAAATAGTTTGAAACGAAAAAACTTAAAAAATTTCATCACCTAGTAAGCACATACTCAAAATATTACTGCACCGAAAAAATGCAAAATCAAAAAAAAAAATTATAAATAACAAAGAATAAATCTTGAAATAGAGAGCATACTTCGTGGGCTTGCAGAAAGTTTCTTGAAACTCAAGATAGCGAGTCATCTTGTCCCATTTTTCATCGTAGTAAGCAGATGAAGGTAACAGGTTGAAGTTAAAGTCAGAAGAGTTTAACTTTTCTGGTGTAACATAGAAACGATGTGAATTACTAATAAAAGTTACAATGCCATAATATGCTGTTCGTGGCATTCCAGACTATAAAATTTAAATGATTTAAAAACAACATATATAACTAAAACTCATAATAATTATAAATAAAATAAAAATTGCTCTAAATTTTCACTCTCAAAAGCTATTTAATAAATTAGATTTCTATCTGAGGAAAACTTTCAAACATAGAGAAAAGCAAGCTTACTCTGATATCTAACATCAATCCGATTGATTTTCCAAGACGTCGATACTCCCTAGGTGTCTTATATGTAATAATAAAAGGCCCACTTCCAGAAAAAGTTTGCTTTAAAAAATCATTTACTTGTAAAGCAAAAGCACGCGACAATTCCTCCTTCAATATCCTGAAATGTCGTTACCGATTCATCAGCAGATAATAATCATGGAGAAAGAAAGTGCAGTGATATTACACAAGATACAATGATTGTTATAAAATATCTCACAGAGATTTTAAAATACACTTTTCCTTACTACAACATGAAAAGTCATAAACCTGTCGTAGTTACTCTTTATTAAATGATGTAAGTCCAGTTTCGTAAAATCAACTGCTTTTTCAGGCAAACGAATAGAAGCCAAATACTTTTTATATAGTCCACTGCAAATAGTCCTCATGAAAATAAAAAAGCAAAAGGAAAAAAAATTACATGAAACTTGAAAACAATTTTTAAAAGTCACTTACCCACTTGAACCTTTCCCGGCCAAATTATTGTTATGAGAAGTTCTGGAAACCTCTGGTCGAATGCAAGCTCTTTCTTTACGTACATCTTGCCGCCTCATCCAATCATCCCAATACATTTTCGGCCAGTTTAATGACAACTCTTTCCACAGCTCTGCTGTGAGCATCCAACCTTAACTATGAAAAGTATTGAACTGCAATACCTCTCAAAATACATAAAACAATTAATTACCAACTAATTGCAATGAATTCAAGTGGGTAAGTGACTTTAAAAAAAAAAAAACTATTCAAACACTATTCACTGAAATCATTTTTCCCTTACTTATATCTCCCTAACTTTGCATATGCCAGAATTCCAAAACATTACACAATTAAAACTGAAAAATTAATGAACTTAGACAATTAAATACCCAATCCCGGGAAAAAATCGGTTCTGTAAAGTTTTTCTCCGTGTTTACGATCGGTAATATTGGTTCCTCCATTATCATTCCAAGCACTAATGCACCAAAGTGTTTTATCGGTAAGCAAAATTGGTTTTAAAGCCATGAAATATGAAAAAAAATCATCAGCTAGATCTAGATCATCTGAAACATTTGTAATTTTTCATAATACTACTGACGGAATACATTTGTAGGAATTTTGCTTGAAAGGTTAAGAAAATCGTGCATTAACCTTCAGTTATAATCATCGTATCGTAGTTCATATCCAGAAATATTTTATCGATAGCCCACTTATAATGATATGCAATGCGAAAATAGTTTTTTGATCCAATATCCAAGTCATCAGGAATTTGGATTTGTTCTTTATGCTGAAAAGTCAAAATATACACATGTCTGTTTCATTGCGATAATGTTGAGAGCTACTGTGCTACAGTTTATGAATATTATTTGTCATCATCTTCTTGCGATCAACGAAAATAATACTTAAAAAAATCACCTATCTCAAAATTAAATAAACGTTTTGCTTCATTCACTGAAAGTAAACTTACATGAATAAAACTAATGTTATTTTCTTCACTAACAAAAGCTGAAATAACTTTTGTAACACCTGGATAATTACCATCTTGACTGATAACAATAGGAAATTGAGCCGATGACGGACGTAATCTATAATGAAATAAACTTCATATAAAATAGTACTAGTTACAAAAAAACCATCATGAAAAATGATTTGAACACTTCATTTGGTTTGATAACGAAGTTTTTAAACGAATACAAAAATCTAGTGAAGAAGTATTGGCACTTGATATTAGCTCACATGCTAATAAACTGCACTTATTTTGCTAAACGGCACTTGATTTTGCCTAATTAATGAAAAAGAAATATCAACTCATTAATCAAATTAAAAAACGAACTTTATCAACTGTTTTAAGTGATTCTCGATGGCAAGTTCTCTCTTCGCTGCCATGACCAAAATCACAGCAACAGGCTTCGACATAGTGCCATTAAATAATTGCGTAGCATCTTGACCAAATGATAAATTCTGAACAAAAGTACAAATATTTTTGAATAAAAATGCGAGGAGAAAAAAATTCAAAAAGTTTCCCATTTTCTGAAAATCAAAGCGCCCAAATAATAGAAATCACACCAGTTAATATTTCTTGAAATCATGCAACAATTTACGATCACTGCACAATAATTAACAAAATCAGTAATTACTGCAATAAAAGAAAATTAAATTTATCATATTCAACTTCGATGTTTGTAGCACTATTTGAAGGGAGAAGAACAGAATTATCGGGATGAATACCGAACAGCCTATTTACCAAGATTCTACGACTACTCAACTAAAAATACTACCATTAACTACAGAACTTTATGCTCCTGTCTGAAGCAATAATTAAACACAGCACACATAATTTAAAAAAAAACAAAGCGAGTACAATAAAAGTCCGATATTTGAAATTAATTTTGATAAATACTTTGTGAAATCCCAAAGGCATAGCGAGCAAGCAACTACATCGGCAAGAATAAATAAACAGACCTGGGTATTCTTATTCGATAAATTGAATAATGCACCTTCTCGAATAAGGAAAACAAATGATATGAACATAAGAAGGGCGACAAAACAACGACGCCTCACATGATAACCTTAAATTAAATAAATACAAGACTGATTAGTCATTTAAGAAAGGGAAAACTGTGCTTTGGAAAACGAAGTAGTCATTACGGTTAGAATATTTATGTAATGTTTGATAAAACAATTCGTTTCATATGTTAATTTCAGTTCAACTGCGATGAATTTGGTGCCATATTATCAACATTTCATAAATGCACATTAAAGCTTTAAGCACTCTGTAAATGGACTGAATTTTGCGTGCAAGAAATAAGACCTCAAATTTAAACAGAGCTTCAAGATAGCATAAAATCAAAATAAAAACTAAGAAAAACTGATTTCTGATGAACTAATTTTGATAAAAACATGTCATATGAAATATAAGCAATGAAAATATATAAATCTAACTAAGGATTCGTCTCAATTTCGTCACAACCATGGAATTGGTTAACTGCTTCAAAATCATCGTATCAGTGATTAGTACTGATCGTAGTTTTTTTTAAATATCTTCATGAGAGCAGATATGTTCTTCATTCGTTGAATTACCTTGAGGTTTAAGCTACTGCAAAAAAAATCTTCAAATTATTTTCACTGACCTAAGCACAGTGATACGAATATTACTGAGAAATCTCAAAGATAGCTTCAAAAGATATTTTAAAGGAGTTTCTGAGCACAAAAAGAAACAATAAACTACTTGCGATACTTACTTTACTACTAGCTTGCTGGCATTCAAAATGTAAAAGCCCTGAATGATAGGACAACAAAACAAAAGTATATATCGTAGTAAAAATCATGTATAAAATTTAAAAATTTAACTTCGATTAATGATAATTTATTGCTCGTTCTCATCAGTTTCAACCTTTAAATCGAATGTAAGTTTTATCTACCTAACCAATTATGATGTTTCAAATCTTTCCTTTGAAAAATACTACACATAGTTAACAAAATTTGTGAAACGATGATAAATAACAAGTTTCTGTCAGTACTAATACTTAAGAAAAGGAACTGACTGTACATATGATACGAAGAACCTCGTTGTAAACAACATAAATAGTTCAAATTTCTAAGACTGACTCTTTTTTTCTTATCCAAAAACGTGGCAAAATTGTAAAACCGATTAAATAAAAATGGCATAAGCCAATGATGTCAATTTCTGTAAAAGTGGCAAGCATACGAAAATCGAAACAGTCATAAAAACTGTAGGATAATCAAAAGTTCTAGTGAAATCTTTGGTTATTTCAGCATTGAAATTAGCAATATCAACCTTCGTACCATGAAAGTACCAACTTATTTTCATTCAAAAGGAAGCAATGATAATAATATTTTCATAACGAAACAAACTTTAAATGAAATTTTATTTTAAAAAGAAACATTTTCACGGCATTGAAACACCAAAAGTAAGACCAATAACAATTGTTTTAGTTCATTTGTATAATTTATGCAAAAATACCAATACTTTTTCAACATTAACTTATTTACCATCATCCGAACTACCCCAACTTTTTTTTTCAAAACTTTAAAATAACCTTTGCCTGCAGAGTGATTCTTATGAAAAAATATTAATTAGATCAATTTTAAAACTAATCAATTGTTACATAAGAACTTGTTTAAATAACACAATGATATTCTGATTATTTACTTTTACAATAAGTGTTAATATTGTGATTATCCATTGGAGTTAATGTTAATAATACTATTTGAGAAACAGAGTATGAATAATTATTATGACTACATTCTTATATTAGAGCAAAATAGTTATTGTCACCAATTAACATCAAAATTTTTTTGACCAAAACGTTACAAGCAACAATAACTATTGAAGCAGTTAGATTATGCTTTCACTTACAAACTACTATCGATGATTGACAATTTATTCAATTACCCTGAAATGAATTATTTGCGTAGCTCTTAGGAGCAATAAATAATTTATGAGCAGAACTGAAATGTAATGATTTAATGAAATATTAAATATTCATTAATAATTCAGGAAAAACTTTTTTTATCAGAAAACCAAGGCAGAGTTGAAATCTTTGATTTGAGGCAAGGACAGTTATTTTCATAAAAATAATAGAATAGAACTTCGTGATTTCATGAGAACTAAATTTTTAACGGTAAAATAAACGAAATTAAACTGAAAAATTAATAAAAGGATAAATAACATTCTTTGCATACAAAAGCTGTTAATCATTACAAGTAAAACTGCAGTAATAGCTTATCAAATTGAAAGTCTTAAATTTTCATTTATTCTTATTCTAAAAGCAAAAAAAAGCAAACTACAAATTATTTTAACAAAACAATTCTAAGATGTAAAATGTAGAAATGTAATCCATTCAACAATAACGGAACCGTTTAAAATCATTCAACAAACTGTTACCATCGAAATATTTTCAAATTTAGAAATGATAGTCTAATTGTTTTCTCAACAACTAAATTCTAAACTACCGATTCGGAAGTCGTGCGAAAATTTCTACGTCTGTATCAGACGTAAAGACGTTTTTTTAAAATCAGATGCAAATTTCCATCACACTGCGACTATACTGAAAATATTGAAGAGCGAATCTTTATGCCTTTTTTGTTGCGATTCGATTTGAAATAAAAATGAAAGAAACTTTTGAAACAGAAATACTTGAAATTAGCGAAGTTCTCATGACATTAAGTGCTAGTAAAGCTAACAGTAAATAGAAGTATTTTTCGCAAAACTTTGAGCGTAAGAGCTATGAAATGAACTCTGTCTAAAAAATTTAAGCTATAAAAACCAGTACTGAACTGAGAACTTCACAATCACTATATGTGTAACAAAAAAAGTTTTACTGTGCGGTTTGTTGTGCCATCACAGTCACACAATCTTTAGTGTCGTTACGAAACGTGCACACAATTTTTCTAATTGTCTCGATTTGCTACAATCATTATCTCAAGTACAGGCAACTATATTTGTTGCTAAATGGCTCGAAAGTATTTGGAGGAAAGTATGTCTAGTCAGTTTTGTGGAAGGAAACCTGTTATGAGTTCATGTGCAATTTCATCAAAGATTCTGTACAACTGACCAATATTGACTTTTCAGAAATGAATAATTACCTAAAAGCGTTTCAGTTGTTAACTTTTCAACACTATGGAAAAAAAATTAGAACCTGAGTCCTATCTGCCTAAAGCGCTAACATCAGTTTATGAATCATTTGCATAGATTATTTGGAAAACTAAGCTCGTTAAATTGCTTGGAGACTGCAGTAATTTTTAAGACACGATATTTTGTCCATAATTGTCGCAACAGAATACCCGGTCAGTAAGCATTCTGCTCAGCATTTGGTGATGTGATTATTTAATAATTGTGAGGGTAGTCCGTTGACTGAGTTGGGTGGCAGTGTGCTGGGACGTCTTTCCCTCTATTTTCTACATACCGTGAATTATTTTTGACGACTGACTTTTGTCTTGGTGACAAGTGTGATTTTGGAGTCGGTTCCTTTGTGCTACTTTTGTAGTTCAAAGGGCATGTTAATGGTAGAACTGCTGGAGTAGTAGCTGCCTGCACAATGCAGGCATCAGGAATTGTTATGATTTTCTTATTTTCATTCAACTTTGTCTGCTGACGTTGGCGAATTCGTTTTTGTTGCGCTCGTAAACGTTGCTGATGCAAAATTTCTGCTGCTCTCTGCAACAACGTCCACTTCAATTTTTTGCTTTTTCAAATTTTGACTTACACTTTCTCAGTGAACTTTATGTTTGATTCATTGCAAATGGAATAGTTTTTTTCTTTATTAATATTACTGCTCACAAATTTATTTCTTATAATATTATCAAATTGTTATTGTCACTGTAAGCCAGTAAAATATTTTCCTCAAGAAGTTGAAAACTCTGTCTTTAGATTTATTGTAAAATAGCCTCAACTTATTTAATAAGCATTTTTTCTTTTATTATGAATCGTTTTAAAAAATAGAGCTCTCCAGTTAAGAGATAATGACAAAGCGCAATTTTTCAGGTGTTAAAATAATAGAAACTAATTAGTAACAGCTGTATTGCATGAAAACTGGAAGATCATGTCGAATTATAACGGATATCCATGTTTTATATAACCGTGAACATTATTTTAGTTTTGATTCAGTAATTATGGGTAATTTATTAGAAATATTAATAGTACTGCGGTGGTCATCATTCTTATCAATATTGTTGATAGTGATATCATTTTAAGGAAATTAGTTGTAATAATACTTATTGTTAGTATTATTGTTGGCGCTCTCATTTCATATTGCTATTGCTATTAATATCATTATTATTATTTATGAATTTAATTCCGAGTTAACATATGAGTAAAAAACCGTTGCAGCCTTCTTCTTCTGCACTGCTTCATCTTTATTCACTCGTTGGAATTCTAAGTCAGCTGTGTTTGGACCACTGCATGGACATCCGAAGCACCAACTATAGAGAATTGGAAAGAGAATAACATAAATCTGAAAAATAACAAATTTTGAGATCAGTCCAACGCAGCAAAAATTTTTCAATGAATTATAATAAAATTTGAGTGCGAAAAGATCCCAACAACTAAATTTTCGTCTTCATGTAATATCCCACCGAATGAAATTGTTTTTATTTCAACTATTTTCTGCAAATTTTGCAAAATTGTTTTTTCCATTGACTTTTTTCCATAGACTCGAAAATGTAATGCTTTTGATCAAATGCTTTTTTGGAAATAAAAGCATTATTTCTTACTTGCATGCATATGAAAGTTGTCATTGTAATATTATCGATAGATTCAAAATCTATCGAGTCTAATGGAACAGAATCTTTACTGCTGTAATTAAATTATGCATTCTGTGAGCAAACAAAATGACAACAATGCTAGAAATCAACAGTAACGAGTATTGAAATCAGTGATAATAATTAGAGTTACTTGTCAAGTTTTTTATAGCTTTTAAGAATAATTATCAAACTTGTAAATGTGAGTGTTTTGCTTTCATCGTTTGACTACAAATTTAAGAAATTTTTCTTTTAAATTTTTTCAGAGTGCAACGATTTTTTTGATTTTATCCAAATCATTGCGAATATTTTTTTGAGTATAAACTAATAAATGTGTACAAATAAAATACTTTCTTGTATATTTTCATATTTTCTTTCGTCCTTTTAAGGACTAAACTCCTAAAAAAGTGCTGACTACAATCAGTGAGATTACAATATCCGATGGCATACCTCATTCTTGATGCAGAAAAAGGGCAAAAGAATAATAAAACAAGTCTGTAGTGGTAGCAAATGTTCAAATTATTGCAACACAGCAAATTTTGCAGTGAAATGTACTCAAATGCCAATAAAGTAAACAAAAGTGTTTACATAAGACTCAACCGTTTCGCACCTGCCAATAACTTTATTAATTTTATCGCTTTACTTAATAAAGAATATATTTTAGGTGACTAAGCAAGCAAAATATTCAAATTTTTGAGCAAACTTTGCATTTTGTAGAGTTTTTGTATTCGTAATATTTTGTGTGCTTTTATGAGATAATTCTTCTGTTGAAAAACACAAAATTAAAGACAAGTTTTGACGTAATCAAGTTTCTGATTTTGTACGCTTCGTAGAATATCATTTTGATCAAAAAGTTTCCAACGTATTTCTTCTTCTGAATACAATTTATGCATACTCAACAAGAAAAAAAAATGAATCTACGAAGCTCAAATAGAATGCTAATTTCTTACTGCCTTTAATTTTGATTCTTCATCACAAGTGTTTTTTTAACCGTTTGTTAGATTATTTTCAACGTAGAAAAGTAAACACAGTCAACTGCTAATATTTTCTCTTACTTTTTATTCAAGCACGTAAATTAATGCAGAAACATAATCTGACTTTGTATGTAAATAAAAGTTTGCATTAATACTTTGTGTCTTTTCTGATTCGTAGAGTTTATTTGACTACTGTACTTATGCTAACTGATAATTATTATTTTATCTTACTTTAACTTGATTTCTGATAACTGCGTTGATTTACGTATGGTCACTACTAGAATTATTATTTCACATTATTCCATCATTACCACAAGTACAAAAGTAGCCAAGTAATAATGTAAATTGCCAATGCAACTATGAATGATACTTGCAAATAACTTTCAATAATTTTTTTGGCTTACGTAAAAAGACGAATATTAAATAAGTAAGCACTGAACTTTGCCTATTTTGCATTCTGACATCAACTTTAAAACAACAAATCGTTCTGCGTCGAACGTAAAAGCAAGTTTATAGTTTGACGAAAAGGAATTACAACAATAAAGCATAAATCTCGAGACTGCCCTCACTCCTACGATTACTTGATCGATCGATCAATCGATCGAGATTAAAGCCGAAGTTTTTTCTTTTGCTGTTTTCAAAAGTAGTGCAGCAAAGTTGGGATCAACGTAAAACTGAACTCCACAAAGACTACTTACTGTTCATACGTTTACATATAGCCGCAACATACTTGATTCTTCTGTTATTCTTCATTGCTCTCCATAAACGCTGTTTATAGCATACTATCATTATTACCAATTATTATTATCATTATCATTATCATTATCATTATTATTATTATTAAATTTCAGTCTTTATTAGCAACTGAACTAATTTAAATCCTGCTTAAATTATTTCGACGTTTTCCTACTACTAATGCTATGATTATTTTTTCGATGTCATTGTTATTATTATGAGAAGCTAACTAGCTAAATGTATATGTTCAAAAAGTTGCTAACTAATCCTATCTTACTAGAAAATGTCGACGGTTAAAGAGTAGCAACTGTTTATAATTGTGGATGTTAAAACGAACCTAGCGATGGTCAAATTTCCTAGTTTTGTTGCTGACTTCTCTGCACACACATTTGAGAATCTTTGCTAGCTTTTATTCAAACTTAGCAGTCTATCAATTAATCTTTTCAGCTTACCTTACAAAGTATAGCAAAGTTTGTTCTCTTTTATTGTCTTGAAAAGTTAGTAATCCTAGCAGACTTTCAGCTATCTTCGAGATTAGGTCAGTGCCTACCAGTGTAATTCTGCCTTTTCTTCTCCTTTACTACCTATATTCTATCTTTTAATTTATTACTTTTAACGACCAATTAACACTAAATTTTTCGTCCATACATTAATGATAGCATTATTGGACAATACTGTGGCGTAACCACTTCACGTTAGATTATTTCCTGACAGTACATATCGTCGGCAAAATTATTGTATTATCGTCGGCAAAATTACTGTATTATTATTTCCTTCAATTTATTGTATTATTATCAAAATCTGATATTCACTGCTATCAGTTATATAATGAGAAATACCATTCTGTGCACTACTATTTTGGTTCGTTTTCGCTATTTACAGTGTCAGCCACTCGCACAGACACTAACTCAAGAACGAATTTAATTTTATTATGAAGCAATTACTTAGTTTTTGTTAAATCATTTGAGCGATTGCTATAAAAGCAATAGATAGTGCCACATGTTACATTCGAAGCAAAAATATTTTCTCAGTGAAACAATAAAAATTAAGCATATCATAAATATTACTAACAGTGAAAGTTATGCAGTTTTCACGTTTTATAAAATACGTGACGGAAAAATAATGCGGTGATGGAGGGAGGGAGCTTTGAGAGGTTTTCGCTTACTTTTGTTTGCTAAACAAAGCATTCATTTCTGTTTGTTTAGTGTTTCAAATTTAATTACGTGCTGATATTAGTTCAAGTCAGTATATTCTCACAAATATAAACATTTTTGCTTTCTTGCAAAAATTCTAAACAAAATTTACATTTACATGAAAAATGTAATCTGTAATCAAATCAAAAATTTTGCTTTAAAATCGCACTGACAAATTTGTACTAAAATCATTTCAGCAAATTACTTAAATACCAAAAAGTCTTTAACTTTATATTTTGTTGCAAAAATATCAAACAAATTATTTTTTAAATTGAATTACTGTCTAATTTTCTGATTGTTTCCGCCACTCAAAAAATAATAATTTGAATATTTGCATTTCTGTCCAAAACAATTAATTCAAGGTGTTTTTTTTCGATTTAAATGACCACAGCAAAACTGTATTTGCTCCGTTCTGTTATTTTTGCTTTTTTATTTTCTTTTTGCTTTATTTCTGCAAATTCTTTCCCTAAACCTTTCCAGAATTGGATAGCTTTTAGCTTTTAATAAAATCAAAGTGAACTTTTTTGCAACCTTTGCAATGACCATAACATGACGGTATTGTGTTACGCATTACTGTACTAAAAACAAAACAAAAATTATGGGTTTTTAAGTGTGCCATAAAATGCGCGGTATTCAAACAGATAATTTCCATCACTACTGCTGTGATTATCGTATTTGCCACCTGTTTACCAAATAACTCTTCTGAACCACAATTTTGTCTTCTTGATATATTAATTACTGAGAATAGCTCAGTTTCCATCTTTATTTTTCCTTTCATACGTGTTTTTTTTTTTGCTCAGTAAGTGAAAGATTAAGTCTTTTGGGATTAATTTCAGAATTTTTCAGCACTTACTTAGTCCACGCAAGTCTAATACTAGCCTCTTTTCGTCCTAATTCCAGAAATTTTTTGCATAATTTTCTAGCACACTTAACGATAAAATTTGTTATAACAGTGCTAGATGAGAAGTTGTTAAATAAATGCACAACTAACTTTCAAACAATAATTTATTAAACTACGAGTCTGATTCATCAAGAGTGATTCAGACGCTTAAGTTTGCGTAGTTTACATCGAAATCTTCTTACTGATGAGAAGTGCATGCATTTTTGAAATAAATCAAGAATGCTCAAGTTGAGAAAATTCTTCGAACTGAATCATTTTAACGTCATTTGTAATATTTCTACGCCTTCTCTAATCACCGAAAGACATTTCGGTCAATTGTTCAAAGATTTTGCACTTGCTTACACTACTTTTTGCTCTGCTCCTCAGTTTAGTTTTGTTGAATTATTACAATTTTAAATTTTTATATCAGGTCGACACATTCAATTTAATCCCACACTGCTGAAAGATTTTGAATTATTTTGAAAAATTAAACTTTAAAAACTTTACATTTTCAATAAATAAATGCTTGATTTGTGAGAGAAAAATTTCTGTCTTAGATCTATTTTAATTTTTTGTATAAAACCAAATTTTGCTCTTGCAGCTGTATTTTTTCGTTGTAATAACTTCAAATTTAATGACTGAAGTTATTTTTTTCCTTTTTTGAAAATTCTAATTCATCAATAAAAATGGTACAGTTTCATTTTTTGCCATATTGGACTTTTTGACAATGAAAATTAGTATAATGCTATCAGGGACAATTCTATAGAACTGATTCATAATCGTTCAATTTTCTTGTTGTTCAAACTTTTACTTAGCCATGAATTAAATTTTAATAGTACTTGAAGTAATTCATTACTAATTCATTTATGCTTAGCTAATCATAAATGGTTAGTAATTGAGTCATTCTGAAGAGGAAAAGTTTAAGAATTATTGAAGCAAATTTTCCAATTTATATCATTAATTGAATTCAAGAATTGCTCTTTTCATTTATTACATATTTTTGAAAAATTTGAGTAATCACCGAATATCAGTTCCAGTACCTAGTTCTTATGATTCACTCTAATCCTACTATTTAAATGAAAGAATCTGTTTTTTCATCATTTTCTGAAATGTTTAAAATGTGAAAAAATATTCTCCAACACATTTTTTATTCAAGAATAGATCTATGTTGTGATCGTTATCAGTCTAAGATAGCTATTTCATTCGCAATCCCTGAAACTTACCTTAGTGAAATACTGCTTACAAATTTCTTAACCTAACTTTAATTGTTGTGCTACACTGATTCTCAAATTTTTACTTGAGCTAATTGTTTTAGCAAGTGCTCATTTATCGTACTTTCGCTCATTTTTCGTGATGATTTGTTCGCAGTTTTGTTTGCTCCGTTATCATTGCTAGTGTTAATACTGCTGTCTAATCTGTGATAAATAATACTATTGCTCGGATTTGTTCGGCAATGAGTACTAATTAGTAGTAGTTTGAAGCTGAAAAATGGTTTTGACAAAAGAACTAATATCGAAAATGAAATTAGTCCTTTCTTTTGATAGTAAGTAACTTTTGACGCAATGATGAAAAAGTAAAGCTAATTTGTGTTTTATCTAAAAGTAAAAACAAAATTTTCGTCTTGTACTTTTAAATTGGATTATTGAATTTTCAATAATGTCAAAGTGTTATTGTAACTTCCACTTATGCCTTTCAAGTTTTGATTTTTTGTTTATCTTCTGAGGTTTTTTTCAAATTTTGTTTACAAAATTAAAAGCTTTGTTAATGAATTAAAAAAATTAATCGTTTTCTTAGCGAAAGTTGCATGGAAGAAGGAGGTTTCTGACGCTGTGCAACTTGATGGTATTTCAGACGCAACTTGCTACATTAGTTGTGATTTTAGGTGAAATGCATGGAAGGTGCAACTAATTGTGAAGTATTCTCTTGGAAACAAAACAATGCCAATGCTAAGACTTCCTCAACTGATCGCATTTCATGCATTTCCTAGAGGTGAAGTATTCAGACTAATTCAAAAATATACTTCCTTAGACGACAAAAATTTTAACACTCTGAATTTTATTTTTGCAGGACTATAATTGCTGTTGAAAGCTAAATAGATAAACCAAAATTATAGTTACTTCACTAGTTTGTATAATTTAAATTGTCGATTGCTTTGGTGCGAATATACTTTCAAGTCAGTCATAACTATGAATTGTCCCTATTTTTCATACTAATATTGATTACATTACAAAAATTTTAGGTAATTGGTAATCTTTGTGAATTCCAATAACTCTGAGTAGTGATTCAATTTCATGAATCAACGGCGATTGTTAAATACAGTAAACAGTTCATCCATTGATGGTCGCCAAAGAAATTCATCCTATAATACAAATTTAATTTGTAAGTTTTAAGCGCCAAATTGAATTTATGAGACAACTTTAAGCAATATAATTTTAATGGTAGTAGTCATAAAATTTTGATAAAAGTAATAGTATTATGAAGGTGAATAATTAAATGGTTTAACATTATGAATACTTATAGCATCACACATTGAGATTGAACTTACATTCGATAAAAGTAACTCTATTTCTCTTTTCAAAAATTTTTTAATTACAGCACAACATTGAATATTTTTAGTGAGTACCGGTATTTGTACGGTATTACGGTATCTGTACCGTAATTGTTAAAGTAATTTTTCAGCAAAAAATTCTTCAAAAAATTCAGAGCAACAAGCATCGATTTCAAACAATATTTCCTGCTTTTTGCCTTCTGAACGACCGAATATAGAAACTACACATACTTATCATCAAGGTGAGCACTGCAAATGCTGTAAGCACAATTAATTCATGCTATGAAATTATTATCATTTCAGTACTTTAACCTTTGATGAACGATTTTATAGTCATGAGACAAATTTATACAATCTGTTGTAAAAACTCTGATCTTAAATCTTCATTTGGTTGAATGAGCTATTCTAGGTGATATGTGAAATTATATGAGGCAGTACCATGCTTAATTAAGACGAAAATTAGATATACGAAAATGTTTTCACTTATAATGCCAAGTCATTTCAATTCATTACTTTTGATAAAAACAATTGTGATCTAAATTTGTTAAACATATAACATCCTGGTATTAATATTCATCAAATTAAATTGCTTGCACTATACAAATTAAAACTCTGAACTTCGAATATGACTCTTTTTTAAATTAAAACTTTTTAACTTCTTATACTTGCTTGAAAAACTGAATTCTCGCTCACATTCTTTGAATATTAAAAAGACTACGCGGATAATGAATGATGTAATAAACCAGTTATCTATGCATTTTTAAGATTAAATAAATAAAGTTTATCATTTATTTAATTTTAGATATGCATCTGTGATTGTTAATATAGACATGCGTACAAAATATTTCAATTTTAGGAGCAGTGTTAAATTATCCAAAGCCATTTTATTCTGTAGAAGAACACCACGACGATTACACTTTTCAAACTTCACAGGAAATCAAGCCTTTTCAACATTTAAATATTATTATTCCCAAGAACCATTTTAACAATCAAGCTAATATCCCTGAGACTAATAAAGAAGTTAATTTACTGCTTGCTGCGCATTCCTACCCTTCAAATACTTACGAATCAGGTACTTCGTTATCAATTACTTTTAATCTGTTACATATATTCCAAGAATAAATAAAAAATTTGTATGTCACTGTTAAAAAATAAGTTAGTAATAAGCCTAAGTAATTGTCAGTTAAGAGTAACTCAACATTAGCAATCTTGATCAGAAACTAAAATATGGTAAATTTAGGGAATATAAGAAATTTTATTGCTCTTTACTAACTAGCGCGCAATTTTTTGCAAAAAAATCAAACTTTTCAAGTATTAGTTTAAATTTAAGTCATAGATGGAAACTAGTTTTGAAGATATTCGAAAGAATATTTTCGAAACTAGCTAACTGATTCTGACTGAAAGTATAGCTAACTGATTCTTTTTTTTCAGAAAGTGAATAAAGTGAAATTAAACACTGCTCAAATCATTGATTTCAAATTAGAATTGTAAATCAGTTAGCTATACTTTTGATGTGATGTAATAAAGTACTGTAATTCAAAGTTTAGCAAGTACTCTTTGAACATCTTCGAATTTAATTATCAGCAGTGAATGTTTAACAAAGACGTAATTATTCGTCTTCATTTTTTATTAAACTGTGAGTGATATGGCAGCATTCAGACAAGTTTTTCTTGGGACTTTTCTGTTTTAAAGAATAATTCTTCTTGGCTTCATTCAGATAATGTAGTCAAAATAATCAGAACGCTCTGAAAATATTAGAACGCTCTAATATATGGATTTGGATAATTTTAATCCATGCATGATCCTATCCGTCTAAATAAAATTACTTTTTGTCCAAGTTCAAAGTTGACTTTGAAAAGTTAATTTAAGATTTTTTCTATTTGAGCAGGGCAGCCAGCTAGTAATTCATTCAACTCAAATCAAAACGGTGCTATCTTGAGCAATAAGGTCAAAGTTACTGATCAGTCAGTTCAGGAAGTCGTTGATCATTCTTTTTACAGGAAGCCCCTTGTTTGTTAATATTTTCCAATATCAACAAAAATAGAAATTTGCATTTTTTTTGTATAAATTTTGAAAGCAAGTATCTGATCTTTCTATTTTGAATACCACTTTTTATGACTGGTTTTTTTACTCTATACATATTTTAGTTTTTTACTTTCACCATATTTTTTCAACATATTCAAGATTTAAGCACTACTAAGTTTTTAATAGTCTTATTTTTATAAATCTAAGAATAAATTATTGACTTGTAGATATATCACGCTGATGATCGAAAGGTTGAACGGGTAACCTATTATCCGGTTGGTGAAAGGCATACGTATGCTACGTATCCAATTGTTGAATTATCAGTACCAAAGTTGCTTGAAGAAAACTATTTGATTGATGCTACACACATTAATCAAAATAAAACTTGGAGCAACAATCATCAGAATCAGTGGTCGAAAAGCGTATCCAAGAATATTTGTAAACCAGCAAAACTCGACTTTAACTGCAGTTCAGCGCACAGCATAACCCACCAAAGTAATCAATCTAATACTGGTAAGAATTATTTTATAGCAGAATTATTTTTTTATTATTTCATTATTTTATTTTTATGTAGTTTTTGTAACAATAATAGCTCTTCTCGGCACGTAAGTTTTTAAGTATTTTTGGAAAATTCCTCATCAAATTAGACATCTACCATTGTGATTTTTTTTTTCAAAATTAATTCATTTTTAAGATTTTAACGTAATCATTTTGCGTTTTGCGACATACACTGATGTTTCTGGCCAAATTACTGTAGTGACTTGCGTGAATAACCGCAAACCTTGTCGTTGAGTGAATAAAATAATTAATTGTTTGAGAGTATTTCTGTTGTTTTTGTTTTGCTTAAGAGACTAATTTAGAACGAAAACAGTTGGCATATCACATGTTATTACTGAAGTGAAGGGCAAGGAGTGGTGTGCAAGCACCAAACCATTTTTAAAAATTTAGGCAAAAATCAAAAATTACATAAATATTGTAAAGAAGAAATTAATTTAAAAAATGAGAAATGGTTCACGCAAGCCGCCAAACATCAATCAACTTCTAATGATTATTAAAAAGCTCAAGAATAAATTGTGAAGTGGTATTAAAAACGCAAACTGTAATTAGTTTCAGAAGAAGAAACAACGGAAAATATCCTTGCTACTTCTCACAATATTAATAATAATAATAATCGTAGTAATAATCACCTTCACTACAAATCGTCGACACCTGCTGTTGATTATTCAAGTTTAGACGCATTTCTAGACGGATCACTTTTAGAACAAGGCGGCAATATGTCTCGAACTACTAAAGAATGGCGGTATGATTTCAAGCTACACAAATTATGATTTCAGAACTTTGATGTGAAGTATTTTTGCCTAATTTGTAAAAGCTGATTTTTAATGTTATCGGTCTATAAGAATGCTTGCTCAAAATAAGAATAAAAATACGTAGACTAAAATACGTAAGTCAGAATTTGAAATGCGAGCATGACAAAATGTCTAAGATTCAGTCATTTCAAGCTCGAAATATCAGCAAATGTGTGGTTAAATTTTGCACTTTTATTGAGATTTTCAAGTAATTATTTTCCGGTTGATTTTAATTCAGATCATCATTTTCAACAGTGCGGGATCGTTTTGGTAATCAATCGTCAATGTCATCTAATCAGAATGCGTTGAATAACCATTATTTTACCACTAATGGTTCAGTAAGAATGTCACCCAAAAGGGAACTAGTCAAGTCTGCTAGTCAAGGAAGTCTCATTACAGATAAGCCGACCGAAAAGTTCGATTTCAATTGACGTTAACTGAAGTCACATATTCGTCAAATGAGAATACTTACAATTTTATTTACAGACAGCGCTCACTGCTTGCAAATGCTGTTGAACACAGAAGAGCCGCTGAAGCACCCGATTTAAGACGTCCTACATCACGTCGAGATTTAGGAGATTTTTGGACGGAAACTATAGAAAATCGTTCAGGTTTGCGTAGTAATTCCATTTCAGTACTCCTTTTTTAAATATACTTGTAACTACTGAAACGATAACAAAATCAGTAATATTCTTGTCTTCTTGAATGAAATTCTGGCAGTTTTAGTAGTGCCACGTGCCCTTTCACCTTTGACTGCAGCACAACGAATGGAGATGCTACATGAAACGATAAATGAATGTGATACAAGTGGATCAGGTCGCCGTCGCCTTTCTGCTGCAAGTCTAGCGACACGTAAAGCAAATTTCCTTAAAGAAGCTGTAAAAGGAACAACTTCACTGATGGATCGCGTTATTAGCGGTAGATCAACACCAATTACTTCGATAGTCAACTCAAATCAACCTCCAAACACATACGTAACTTTTTTTTTATTACAAACAGTATGAAGTACTGAACTAACTTTTGGGTTGATCAAAATTTTCCTTAACATTAGGTCAAACTAGTGTAATTTTTTCATTTCTTAAATTTAAAAAAGTACTTATATTTCCAGGAGAAAAAAGAATCGAGGTTGATCATTCAAGGTGGCAATAATTTGCTCGTGAATAAACCTGATTTCGCCGCTCTAGACAGCGCTGTAGCAGAGCTCAACGGTGGCCAATATACAAATACTCGTCGTAGTGGATGTGCACAATTTCCTACAAATGACCTGTCATTGTTCGGGAATAACGAAGGTGAGGCTGGATATTTTCATTAAAGTTAAGTAATTTTCAGTAACTCTAATCTCTTTCCTTCAGTAATCTCAAAATAGTTTACAGTTTTCAGTTTGAAATTTTGCACAAGAAAATTTTTATGAACGACTCTTAAAAGTGCTTTTTTGTGATTATTGAAACTGAAATTTTTATACAAAATTCAGATCTTTCATGCTTTGAAACTCAATGCGTCATAAATGTGGATCGAACCTAAAATATTATTGCAGCGCAAGTCTCATCAATGAGCAGTATTGTTGCGTTTCATAGTCCAAGTCCTGAAGCTCTAAGTGATACAAGCTCAAACAGTGGTGCCCCTAGTGGATTACCGCACCCAAAACCAAAACACAATATTCGTGAGCAATTAATCCAAGCTGGATTGGAACCACGTGGAAGTACATTTTAAATTTATTCACATTTTTCTTTCGATCATGCAGATTTAATGTAATTTAGAAAATGAAATTACACCTTTTCAAACCACTATTTAAAATTATCACAGTTTCGAAAATTTCATTTGTATGTAAATTATTTCAGCCGCTATATATGTGAACCGCAGTGGTGTTCGTTTTGGAAGCAGCCCAAACTTCCCGGTACCTTCCAGTAATAACGTTGCATCGAGAATTTCAGAATTTGAAAAAAAACCAGGAGCACCGAATTTGTTACAAATTGCATGCGCATTAAATAGCAGCGAGCGTCAGAAAATTGATGTATTTTTGTTTATTTAAATGACTAAAAGTTAAATTTACAAAATTTGGATTTAGCCATGAAAATGTTAATTTTTATCGAATTCCTGATAACTTGAACCTACAAGAAGTACTAATCACTTCTCTGATCGTTCAGTTTTTAAATTTAGCACAGAAATATCCAATATTTTTCACAAAAGGTAACTTTGGAATGTTTGAATTGAAAAAATCTTAAACTTCAACTGCCCTAAGGTAAAGAATTCAGCAAAAACTTTTTCAAAATGAATAGTCATCGACCTTTAACAACTGCATACAAAGCATGAATAAAAAACCACAATTTCCGGAAGGTTGCATGCATACAAATACTATAAATAAGTTGGAATAAGTTTCTATATATCGCACACTTAGGCAAATGAATTAAATTAACATCTAGATTTGTTAAATACTAAAAAATGTTGCAAAATGTAACGCAGAAAAAACTTGAAAATGCAATTAAGCTATATAAAGAATTTGCTGAAATTTTGATGAGTAAGCCTAAAAGATGGTCATTTTCAGGTTTCTCCAATCAGATCACCGTTAGGCCCCATGTCTCCACGATCATCTGTGTACCGCACAAAGCCAGTAATTCACGCAGACATGACTGGTACCTCGCAACGTGGAATTACTCTATCGATCAACTCAGAATCTGTTTTTCAGTTTCCACCATTCAGTCAATCTGTCGAAACTAAGGTTTGTTTACTGCATGTAAGGTTGTTAAAATGAGTAAAATTACATGAAGCTTTACTATGAGTGGTGTCTGAAACCTTTTAGAGTTTAACTTTGATGATGGTACTTGACTGCCAAAAAAAATATGTCAAGATAATGTATGTATTGCATTATGAATAGTAATATGTTCTCAAATTTACATTCATTCATGAGAAACATCAGAGACTAAATATTATCACCAGCAAATACGACAGGTTTCTAAATGTTTTCATCATTAGCTACTGATAAACAAACACTGTTAATCTGTTCTAAATAATTCACTAGAATAAATTAGACAGACTTTCTTAATAATCTTCAAGTAATTCAACTCCATAATTAACACGGAATTAAATTGGCATCTAAGATTTCCGTAATCAAAGACAAAACCTGTAGTCATTCAAGAATTGAAATTTTTAACATGCTTAGAATTTCATAAAACATATTTTGATTTGTAAAAATTGACTAAGCAAAAGTGGGAATGCATGCACAATTTTATTGAGCAGTTGTAGAAAACTGAATAAATAATGAGACTTAATATTGAGCTTCGGTTATCTAATTCAAAATTTTTGGTTGCATAATCAGAACTACAATTTTAAAGAATAGACATGAAGTTCGGACTTTAAATGTCTAATACTGGAGAATGACAAACCTTTTGATCTCATTTCCCAGAATACTTTGCTAAATACGCAAGTAATTAGGTAAATTATCAGCCTTGCCTGAAATCTCACTTAGAGACAGTATTAACTAATTTAGCTGCACACTGTGCCATTCCATTTTATTCTGATGTTAGGTGTGAGCTTTTTTATTTGCTTCCTATCTTGAGATCACAAATTTATTAGCTACACTCTGTTCTACTTTGATGTGATTTAGTCTAGGATAAGCGAAGATAATTTAATTGTAAGATCTTGATATAATTAGATTAAGAAAATTATCAGACTAGTAAATAAGAGAGTGTGTGATTGCGTACGTAATTGTGAGAAAAAATATATGATGAATCAAAATAGTCAAAAATAGTTGTGTAAATAAGTTACTGAGTAAGAAAGTGGTGAAGGAAGTCTAAGTTAAATAGGACTGGTTTACAGTTATTTCTGACTATGACTGGGAGGAAAGGCACTCAGACATTCACATTTGTCATAGCAAATTCATTTTTATCACAAATCATCTTTGTGTCGAGGAATGTATTTCTTGCAATTTTTGTTTGTAATACTTTTATCTTAAAATTGATGACTACAAGCATTTCATAGCTCTCTGGTCGTGTTCTGTAACATCACGTACGTTGACAGAAGTATTACTTGAGAAAACTCATTTAATGACTAAGAAATATAGCAAACAATGCTCAAGTTCCGTCTTAAAAGTAAATGAATGTTATTTTTTACTTGTCATTTTTATTGCTTCACATGAATGGTTTTGAAGTATTTGTTCACAGATTGTGCCAATATTTCTATTTAATTTGTTTTCTTACTAAACGTTTATTATTATTTTTGTTTTTATTGTCATTATTATTGCTATCAGTAACACTGTTTATACGGACTTTATTACGAGTAATGTTATTTAATTGACATTATCACCATTAATGTATTATGATATTTTATTACAGCCATACTGATCGGTAATCATTATCGTAATCATTATCAAAATATATTTTCTCATTTTTAAAATACTTAGATTAAACTTGTGCTAGCATCAAGCATTAATAGATTCAAGCAGTCTGAGTAAAGGAATCCAAAAAAAAATTAAGGCAAAGAAACATTGAAAGCTATGAGGCAAATTTCAAAGTAAAATTATTTTTTAATAATTTTCCATTAATACTTATAAATTATTTAACTTTTAATGCAGTTAAGAATAATGGCTAGCAAAACGATAATTAGACTCTAAAATTTACTTCGACTTGAAGCTCAGTTTATCCATTTTTTGTCTTGATGACAAAAGTAAGAGTGTCTTCTGAATCGGCTTAATTGAGCCGAATGACAATTTAATTGAAAATAATGCACTGCAAATGGTCGATATTTGCAATTCTGGAAAGTAAAACAGTGTTTTTTCATTCAAATAAAAATTTCAGTTCATTCAATGAATAATTGAATTATTAATTTTGTTAAGGTTTCTTTATTATTTGCACTGAAAATAGCTTATCGCTCGTTTATTTGTACTCAAATCTGTCATTTATTGAAACGAAAAAATCATATCATTTGCATCTTTTTAATTTATCACTTTAGAATCGAAAAAATTTCTCAGAATAAATATTGTCTTGAGATGAACGGAGCCATTCAGCTTAATGCTTTCTGTTTTTCCTAATAAATAAACTTTGCTAATTTGTCAGCGAAAAGTTTCATATAATAATCAATGAGATAGATCTTTACAACGTTTGTAGATTCTATTATTGCATGGAAATTGCTAAAATGCCGACTAAAAGATGCCAGTGCTTGCGAATAATAAAAAATAGATTTATCTCTCAGCCAACTCAGTTCCACGCCATAAACTTTTTAGATTTTTGCTATCAAATTTATAACTTTGAGTTAAAAGTTATTCATGTTGTTGTTGCTATCATCATTATTGTCTTACTGTAAGTGTTATTCTAACTATCGTAAGCAACAATTATAACAACTATAATAATAATGATAATAGTGATGATAATAATAATAATATTAATATTGATAACGAAAATAATCACTTTATATTGCTGCTAACGCCATTAAAACTGCTTGCCTTGTAAATAATAATATTTTACATTTCTTTACCAATATTTTAATGATGACAGTAACAACAACAATCATAATAATAGCTTTCACTCAAACTTTAAAGTTTATATTGCTTAAATAGGTAAATGAATATTAATTAGGCTGAACTTGTGCAATTTTCAAAAAATGAAATTTTGAACTCATATTTTAGTTTTTCATACCAAAATGTGCATATTTTTTATTCGTATTTTGTTTTATGTAATTTATTTTGTAGTTGTTACTGTTTTGTTTCTTCTTCTTCTTCTCACTATTATTATTATAGTAATAATAATAATGATAATTATTATTATTGTTATTATTACTATTACTATTACTATTATTATTACGACAGTTAGAATAATAAATGCAGTGAGAGCAGTATTGATAATAGTAGTAAAAATAATGGGAGCGAAAATTTTTTCATACAGAAAAATCTAAATTAATCCACTGAGAAATAATAATTCATGTTAGAAAGATTGTATATCATTAAATATTGTTGTTCAAACCCAATAATTTCACTTTTTTTCTTCGTAATTAAACATGCATTTCATCGAATTTTCGGGACATAAATTATTTTGCGATCCAAAAATTAGATATAATCTTTAAATTTTGCCAAAATTTCACACTTTTAAGCAAAAATGAAATTCTGATTAGATTGTTAGGGTTTCACGTAAGAAAGACTGTTGACGTCTCACGTATCGAGTTTTTTACAGAATTTTATAGCACTAGGCAATTCATAAATATATATACATACATGTTCTTCGAATGATTTTGTAGCAAAAAATAATAATCGCCTGTGGAATTTGGAATTTGTGCTACCCCAAAGTTATCCTCGACTATATTGTCATATTCTGAATGCAGTCCAACATTTTCACAATATCTGTTGATAAAGAATCAGTTCTTCATACAACTGCAATGCTGGAACAGTTTTCATCGGCTGTTTATGCCCGTTCCTCAAAAACAACATTCTCGAAACGAAAAAAGCCTCAATTAGCGAAAGCAAGAATTACTTTATGGCCATCGCAAATTCTCTCAAAACAGATGGCAAAAATTACCTCTGATGACTACCGAGGTGATCTGATTGACCAGAAAATATCGGTTGATGTAGATGCAAAGAAAAAATCAACTTCTAATTTTTTTTTACGAAATGAAAGTCGAGCAAGTACAGCAGAAATGACTCAAACAACCACTACGGTATCATTTCCCTGCTTGACGTTTTCTCGGTATTATGGAAGTACCGGCACTGTACCTGCAGAAAAATCTTTGAAAAGTCGAACACGAACTTTAACTGCTATTTTCGAAAATTTTATTTACAAAATTCTTCATTTTCGTGACAGCACGGTGAGAACAATATTTTAGTATATCAAATCAGATTTACTTAGTATTCTTACCAAAGTTACATCTATATCTGATAGTTTTTGGATAAAAATAAATTTGAAAAAGGGAACTTATGAGTTAAATATATTTTAAAAAAGTTAAAGCTTTCACTGTTCGATTAGATACCGTACTTTCAAGATACGATAAGGAATTCGCTGCGAACAAAAATAATACATTAATAAATAAAATGACTATAATATTAAGCCTTTTGTGTGTGTTTTGTAATTTTTTAAACATCCTCATATTTCGTTTTATTTTGCCTAGAATATATTATTATTCGAATGATTTTAAAAAATTTTGAATTTCCCTCTTATAATGTTAAAAACAAACTTTTGAAGGACTTTTTTAAAATTAAAAAGTAGATTGTTGTTAGCTGCTAAATAAAAATCATTTTCGAATTAAATCATTGAAGATCAAGAATTTTGCGTCATTTAAAAAATACCTTGACAAAGGAAAAAATATGATTTTTACTCTTCGAGAAATTTGCGTGAAAAATTAAACGATTTTAATTTCAGAATGAAATCGTATATCAAAATTTTGAAAATAGCGCAACAACACCAACGACCGCAGCAAAAAGTGATGAACTTAATCGCAAGCCAAAGTACGTTAGATACTTTTACTATTTTGTGAAAAAAAAACCGTACAAAATCACAAGGGAACACTATTTTTGATTAAAAACGAAAGAATTTATGATTAAACTAATTTTTCGAAGATATGAAACCTCCGGAAGTATGAATCTGATACTTTACTCATTCTACCATATTAAAAAAGTACTAGGCACCTTTCAATCAACAACTGAATATAATTATCTATCCTGAAATTGTTTAATTGTTAAAAAATTGTTTGATTTACATTTTTTAAAGTAATCATTTAATATACAAGTTTCGGGGATGATTTATTTAGTATCTATTTGCAAAGGACTGAAATATTTCTAAGCCACATAACTTTGGCCAGTAACGGTAATAAAATGATCACTGCAGTTACTAAAATCTTGTAATAATTACTATCAAATTGCTGAAATTTTTGTAGAGGATTGCAGCAAGTTAGTGAAATTGTGCTCGAATTACCCACCAAATCGTGTGAAGCAAAAAGTAAAACAAGGTTGAATTACAAATAGCTTAAATATTTTACATTTTTGCTTGTTTTTGCCAATTCAGTTGGTATCTTTTGAATTTTGAAAAACTACTTAAACAAAGAAGTCAATTAATTAAGTTTGTGTTTGTGTTTTCTGTGTTACGAACTGATTTTGTCTTATTTTTATCACTCGGATTTTGATCACAGCGAATATCTGAAAGAGAATGAAGAATCCGATAATGAGCATTTTGAATGAGTGAATTGCTCATTTAAACGTCTTCCAAATTCAAAAGGTCAAAATGTTTTAGTCAAAATCAGAACTCAAGTTCAAGTCCGAGCATTGCGGAGCGACGCTTGGAGAAAAAAAGTTCGACCGCAAAAGTAACTCTCAGTGGCTCTTACAGCGGTCTCATTTCTGCACAACCTCAGGTGAACTTTAGCATTATGCTTAATTGCTTTTTAACTGATAAAGCATTTATAGATTTATACTCTTTGCTCTAAGATACTTTCGGCTTTTACATATTTTACTTACTACTTCTTTATCAGCAACTGTCAATTGTCCAACGTTACACGTTTGACATTTCGATTTACTTACTTGTAAAAATTTGAGCTCTCTGCAAATTTTCACTTAAAGTATTTATACTTTAAAACTTTAAATATTCCAAAAAACTTTCTATATTAGGTTGAATATTGATAGTTAATAAACAATGGTTAGTCGTTTTCCTGATTATTAATAAAGAAGCACAGATTAGATAAACTTTTGCCATGTTGTAATCTTGATGGGATTGAATATTGCCTATAACTTAAATCTCGAAAAAATATCAAGAAAAGCCGTGTTGCGTTGGAATATATTGCTCATAGCAATTATAGCAAAATGGAATGAGAAGTGAAGCTGAATGGCTTGCAAGTGACCACTCACCCAAAGTCTCTTCTGTCAATATTCCTAGGTAAGCTCGGATGCATTTCTAGTTTTGGTCAATCTTTAATTGTTTGAAGACATTGGAAAATCGAAGCAGTAAGGATACAAAAATAGATGACAATTATGTATGGATTCTAACCGATATCTTCCTTTTCCGTAATTTTTTGAAAAATTTAGCAAGAAACTTATTTGCGTATAACCGACATCTTAATAATAAAGTAGTCATTGCAACATCTAACTTGTAATTTTAGATTTTTCTTTCCAAAAGGTATTCCAATTTCGGCATCTGAAAATGAAATAGCGCTGAAGAGAGTCAGCGAAGTATTTGCTGCGATTGGAAATAAAGTAATAATCATTTTTAACAATAATTATTGAAATGATAAGTGATTATTTAAATTTTGCTGTCCTTTTTCGTAAGAAAGATTGGAATTTTCAAAATTTTAGATCGAAATGATGGATATGGCTGAGATCTGTCGAGCAGCGAACATACCTGTATATTGGAAGCGGGCTGTTTACGTCTCTTGTAGCACTCATCAGTCGAGACCAATTACTTTTGCTGATTTCGCTTCCTGGTGGAACAGGTGCTAGCGGTTGTTATGAATATTATGATTACTATTTATCACTTTGATTTTGGACAGCGGCTCGATAATTTGCCATTAGACATGACAATGTTATAAGACTAATGAGGAGTGATAAGTTCAAAATTATTATGCATTCAAAAAATTCATTATATGCGTTTAATAAATATTCATATAGGAATAATTTGCATACAAGAATTTTAAACAATTAATATTAGTTAATGAAATTTTGAAATATAAATGTAATTTTACGATTTTAGTGTATGAATAATGATAATAAGTTCGAAATAAATGAACTACAAATCTCACATTTTATTCTTAAAAGTGAGAAAAAGCATAAGCAATAAGAATAGTTTCACGAATATGTATGTAAAAATACCAGTCAAAACTTGTATCTCCGTATCTGATTAAGGAAGGGTCAATAAATTAACAGCTATTTACTAAGGTCATAAAATTCTTACATGTTATATGATAATCTTCAAGTTTGATGAAACAAAATATTTTTTGAAACTTTATATAAAAACGTTGAAAACAGACCTAATTATTTTTGTTGATTAAAATATGCATACTTTGAGAAAACAAATTAATATAATGAAATGAATAATAATAAATTAATTTCTAAAAATAATATATAAATGTAATATTATGGAGGATATTTTTGCAGAATGACATCAGTGGCGCATGATGAAGCAGCTCGTTTCATGTACACTTTAGCAGGACCATATCGAGATTATCTAACCAAAGAGGACTTGGTACCTATACTTCAAGATCTCATTGAAACCTTTCCAGGATTGCATTTTCTACGTGAAGCTCAAGAATTTCATTCGAGATACGTTGAAACGGTCTGCAAATATGTTATGTTTTGTTTCAAAACTCTAATTTACTGTCTAGCATTTTTACAAGTTTAAGCTCATTTCATGTATGTCTCAAAGTAACAAATGGCACTGAGAATACAAAATGAAAAATTCTATTACAATTTAAATATTTATAAGTACTTATACACGTCAGCTTTAATTGCAGTAATTAATTTAAGTATAATTTGCCAAAATTCAGGAAGTTTGAGAAATTAAATTCGAAATGCATACTTCAATGCTAGGCATGTACAAACTTTTGTTGATTTCTACAAAACAGTTTACTACAAATGTAAGATGAAAAGAGTTAAAGCTGACTACACCAGGAAGAATAATAGTAATTTACAGCCAAAATAATTAAATATGACTTTAAATGATCTTTATTGTATTTCAATCTTTGTCAAGCATCATATTAATAATGCGGAAAATCTAAAGATAACAAATGCTTTAACAGGTGATAGTTAGAATATTTTGGACAGTTAATAGATCTTGGACTGGAAGAATAACAACCAACGAACTTCGTCGTTCGAATTTCTTAGAAGTAAGCCAATGAAAAGTCTAGTCGCATCGGAACGATTATGATAGTACAAAATGATTAGCAGAAATGATTTTGAAAATTTTTTAAAAATCTGAAAAATTTTTCAAAGTGCCAACAAAATATTTTATTATTTTGAGTTGAAATGGCTAGAAAATCTATTTTTATAGCATTTTTTCAGCTCAATAGCAAGATTAGAAAATTCTGATAAAGTATTGCAAACTTTTGAATGGAAAAACTTCTAAAGTTTACTGTTTCAACAAATAAAATTGTTGCATTATTAATTTTAGATGCCCAGGTACTTGAAAGTGCTCAATAATATGGGATGAACTTGTTATTATGTGATGATTGAATTTATATAAGTAATAAAATACTATACGTAAGACTCAAAACGGTATGAAATTCAAAAATATATGTAAAAGTCCATTTTTGTCAATTTACAATTATTTTCAGACAGTTCGAAAACTGGAATCAACAGATGATATTAATACAATAACCAATTACTTCAGCTACGAACATTTCTATGTGATCTACTGTAAGTTTTATGAACTGGACAAAGATCATGACTTGATTATCAACAAAATGGACATGGCACAGCATTGTAATGGAGGTATGAATAATAGCAAAGTTATCAGTTTATATCGGTTATCTCATGATATAGATGAACTTGCTTATGTTGATTCAATGTATATGAATTTTGTGGGATTAGAGAATAATGCATGGTTGCATTATTGCTGACAAAAATAAAACTCCTTTCATGATTTATTAAGTTAAGCTGTGATTATGATTTGTTATTGCTGTCATGAAATCTCATTATATGCTGAATAGTTTTAGTATTTCGATATTAAGTTTTGTTTGAGTTTCGATAATTTGTTAATAACTGTTTGCGGTCGGTCCTGCAGATTTAATAATGCGTCAAATTTCACATATTTTTTTGAAGTTATTTTAATGAAATCTACAATTTGTGACTCAAATTTTCTTCCATATTTATTCTATCTAACTTTGAAACTTCAACTAAAGTTCCATTTCAGCACTTCCTGCACAAATCATCGATAGGATATTTAGCGGGGCTGTGACGAGATCTACGGCTGCAAAACGTTTTCGAAAAGCGGTCGAAACTATCGGATATACTGATTTCGTAGCATTTCTGCTGGCAGAAGAAGATAAACGGCATCCAACAAGGTAAGTTACATATTTGTCATATATTAACAAATCTGTAGTTTATTCAATAATTTCAAGCTAACAAATGGAGAAATGTGATAAATTCACTGAACACATTGCAAGTATTGCCATACGGAATCTTTATGTGATCAGTAAAATTTGCAATCTAATCAACTACTCACAAATCGTTTACCAAATATGCTTAAAGCATCGAATATTGGTTCCGATGTTTGGATTTGGATGGTGATGGTTTGATATCTCTGTACGAAATGGAATACTTTTATAATGGTGTTAAAAGTAAAATGGACCAGCATAATATTGACTCCATGCGTTTTGATGATGTGGTCTGCAATGTACGTTAATATTGAAATATATTAAAACCCGAATTTTAGATTCAAAATATGAAAGCATTAAAATTTGAGACGTTTAGAAAAGAAAGATTCAAATTTCAAACATTATTGATGTCAACAGTCATGAAAATGCTTTGCAAATATGATTTGTATGAGAAAATTTGTATTAAAGTTATTGGATATTATACGACCAAAACAGCCAAACGTTATATCATTATCAGATCTGAAAAAGTGCTCACTCTGTACCAGATTCTTTAATACCTTCATAAATTGGGTAAAATACTATGAGCAAGAAGCAAACGAAGGAGAAAGAGCCACTGTGGCAAGTTAAAATCTATTTTTTATATCTTCTTGTTATCACTCAGAAATAAATTTAGCACTTAAAAATACTACATATAATCAGTCATACAAATGTAGCAAACAAATTGGCGGGAGGATACGAACAAAAAAGTCAACGTGCATAAGTAAAAAGTAAACAGCAAGTAATTCAAAAGAAAAAAACGAAAAAATTATTTGGCAGTTTCTTAAATTACCACACTTTTTTGACAGTATGTATCATCATTCAAAATTGTGATTTCAAGTATTCTGCATCCATATGAAATTGCTGTCCAAAAGGAGTAGATATTTATGAATAATGAAAATTATGCATTAGCATTAGGGAGAAGAGTCTACTTCAGTATCAGTCTACCTAGAGTAAAGTTTATTTCGTCTTGTTTATAGTCATAAAATGAAGGAAGGACGCGGGATTTTCTTGCACTCGCGCTGACTTCTTTGTTCGATTCTTCCTTCAATTTATTTATTGTATGCATAATTTTAATTTTTAGTGATAAAATGTATTCTTAATGTCTAAATAGTAATCTGAAGTTACAAATAGCGCAAAATTTAGCAGTAACTAGAATTAAAATTGAAGGTGCAAATTTGTAGACTGACGGTGATGAAGAGTTGAACGACTGGGATAGGTACTGCTTGGAAGAATATGAAGCACTGATGGCAGATGACCAGGATAATGAAGAGGCTGAAGACATGTTTGTGCTTTTTGAGTTTTTAGAAAATACATACTTTTCACTTTCCGAAATTGTGTGGATTTTATGAATGTAACTTTACTCCCAATCTATTGCTACTCTTCTTTTTTCAAGTTTAGAGCGCAGTCAAAATAAGTTAGGTAGTGTTTACTATTGCCACAGTTGTCTTGTCACACAGATGAGACGGCAGCTGATATTACCAGAACAGATCATCTCACCGCTAGCAGTCTTTGTACCACACTGCAGACAACACTCGACTGACTTCATCCCATGCAATTTTTGCTATTCCAATAACCACTCAATTTCAGTAACTTAAACTTGGACGATGATGATGACTTGTTCAATGGTACTAATGTCAGTACGACAGTCAATGTGTCCTTATATGATTTCAGCGATTCTCGGAGATCACATATTTTAGGCGCAATGTGATAAATTAATAGAAATCTCCCTGCTGTTACTAATCAGAATGTTTGATGTTACTTGTTTGGTAATAAGGCAAGAACATGATTCATGTACATTTCCTTGTGTTGCTCACTGTTTGCTTACCTTGTTAATGGTATTACTTTGCTCTTCCTTTCCTGTTTGTTTTCCATGACAACTTAAATTGTTCTAGCATGTTAGACCAAGCAAAAAGTTAGTCCTTAATCTTTGTGAGTTGATTAATACCTTGCACAAATCTCATAAAAACTAAATTGGTGAGCAATTGCAATAACCGAATGAGATTGATAAATTTACTCATAACACTCAACTGATAACGCATTATATTTATGCCAGTAACGACTCCATGACAATAAAAGAGTGTAATGAACAAATGAGAATAACAACGAAATCTTAATTAGAACCGAGAAGAATCTTTCCAAATTACACTGAATTGTAAATTACCTAACCTGCCTACTTCTTACACGGATTCATAATTTGCTTTTCCTGTACATAGCAAAAGGAATGCTAGCTCATCAAAGATACCAGCCCAAATAGCCATTAAGAAAACAATGCAACTACATAGTGCTTCATCCACTAATCTATCCTACCTTATAATGCACATTATGCTACCAAACACGCCGCCCCAAGTACAGGTTACAGGTAATTACACCTCCATCTTTTTCATAATAGAGACAAATATTCCATTAAATACTTATCAGAAATGCTTCAATAACTGTGAGTCCTGTTACCTCTGAAATTCAGAACTAAATTCTTGGATTGACACCATCTTGAAAATTTTACCAAGCACTCATTCTAATGACCAAAATATGTTAATTTTTAGGCACTTTTAAACCATTCTACATACTGCTACATCATCATTGTGAAATAACTTGAAAATAGAATTAATTTCCATATACTTTATGGGATTGTATAGTTCATATGGACTGTATAGTCCCATGAAGTATATGAAATTGCTACACCCAATTTAGCATGTCAGACTTCTTACACTTTCTAACGGTATCCATATGAACGACAAAACATTCAGACAAACCTATCTCCATAGGCAAATATACTTCAGCTTCAGTAAAATTTGTGATGGCAATTTTTCTTTTCGAATTCTGATGTAATTTAAATTTGCAGGATAAAGCAGATATATAATGATGAAAGTTGAATTGTTGTCTAACTTTGTGCCGGCTCATAAAATCATAGCAAATGAAGTACAAGAACAACAAGATTTTGATTTTTTTTAACATAAATTAGAAATGAAATTCGCAACACACTGATTAGATTGATAACGCAAGCATCAAGTGATGCTACAAGCATTCACAAGTTGGCAAATATTTATCTCTGATCTAGCCGTTCTTTAGGCTCCATGATAATTATTGAATTGCCACGTATAACAACCATCCCGATTTCATTCTTCTCACCACTCTGTAAGCCATTTGACTGAATGGTAAAAAAATGAGGAAAAAAGAATTGCGTACATCCTAATTAATCATGAACTGTTGAACATGTATCCAAAATTTGCATTTTAATAAAATGACGAAAACTATAAGGGAGAAAACGAATCTTTAAAGAAAAAAATTACCTTCATATTTTCAACAGCATCTTCAACAACAATATTCATAAACGGATCGAAACCTCGAAGTACACCAGAGACACTTCTGTTGCCATTTAGTTTCAGGTCAACTTGTTTGTCCATATATTTTTTTAGTTCAGGTGGATGTGTTTTGCTCATCTTTCACAGTTATTTCTCGCACAAACAAATCTACAATTAATTGACATGAAAAAAAAACTGATTAGAAAAACAAGAGAACCCCACAGAATAGTTGAATTTGTCCATCTCAAGATATAAAAATAACTCCTGTGACTAGAGAAGTACTGTAGATTGCTGATACACCAAGCTGTATCCAGTAAACTAGTAGTGATAAGGAAAAGATGTCCCTCAACTCACTCGAACAAAGGGTCTAAAGTCACAGTAAAAAATTTCTAGTCATAATTAGAAATTCTTCAGTACCGTATGTTAGGCAAATGCAATTATTCTGCAATACTCCTTCGACCTCCAAACAAATACACCAAAGTTTAGAATATCAGATTATACCTCATGAAAATTTTTAAGGGGCATAGGCACATTGTGCAACACAATTTTTGTGCTTAAGTGAGTGAAGAAGAGATAAAAATGAAGACAACTTCGTTAAGCGAGAGGACAGAAAGAAAAAAAGGAAAAAAGGGAGTAACTTCTGAGAAGAGAAAGGAGAGGGAAAAAGAAAAATGAAGATAGTCGTGAGAACAGAGCAGACCTTGAGAAGATATGCAAGAAAAAGAGAATTGAATAAGAATTAACACGCAACAGTTATATTCATTCTGGGATACATGTGTAAGTGAGGGTTAGAGTAGTGCAGATTGAATCTTGAAGTATCACGTGTTGATTGGTTTTATGAACCGAGGTGTTGCTGGTAGTATTGGAGAGTCGGTAAGTGATCAATCTCTGAGTTCTCGGTAGAATTAAATTGAGAGAAGAACAAGGTGGACGAGTGAAATCATGTAGAAGTCGAGTATCGTATGAACAGAATTACTGTTATTTTTCAATTTGTCAGTGTTTTTCATAAACATTTCTGCAGCTGTAGACGTACACGAAATCAAATGCAAATTTCAATGTTAACTGCAGACTTATTTTCATTGTTGTAAGAGCTACCGCTATGCTTTGAAAAATCACGTGCAAATTACCAAGAGTGATCTCGTAAGAATTATTTTTTTCTTAATGGTCCGGAAGATCATCGAGAATTATAAACTACGAATATATTGAGTTTAATCACCACACAAAAGATCGTATTATTGAAGGGTTTTAGCGAACCACATCGCAGTTGCATGTTGTTGGTTAATGTATTTTCTAAAATCCCGTATGCATTCCAGTTGGTGCATCTCATTGTGTGTTTGTTATTCAGTTAATCAGTTCAAAGCAGTGGCATTTTTGAATGCATTTAATGGAAGCAGTGAATGATTTGTAATTTGTAGCCAAAATTACTTATCATGTTTATGTAGTAAAGAATTTATGCAGTATACGTTAGTAATTTGCAGGGAAGTAGTAGACTAGATGAACCAAAGGAAGGATACACTCGGAACTGTCACGGAGTGCACGGAGAATTATGATGATTCAGTATCGTTGCTTAGTAATAACACTTCTACTCTAAACTGCTCAAAAGTATCCGTCGGTAAGAACTAGTTTTCTTGTAAACACAACATTTACTTGGCTTCTCTTTGTTTCAATTCTCAAGATCAGTGTAGAGATGGTTTAAATCAGCTAATTTACATCTTCCAATGGTGTTATTATCTATAAATAGTAGTGAACTGTTATCATAATTTTAGTGTGTGTTGCGTTTTCATCTTTCAGAGTTTGACATTGTAGATAAAATCTTTTGTAAAAAAGTTATTTGATTTTTAAAAACATTCAACATTTGCTAAGCGATCTTTTGTGTTGACTCTTTTCTTACAAAGTTTTTGGAAGTAGTTTCCTCCTCTTTTTTTCATAAAACGTATTACATGTTAGGGTCAGATTTTACTTTCAGATTTTTGATTATTTACTTTTTTAAAGTTTCCTTATAGTTTCGTTGGTGTCTTAAAAACGGTAAATAAACAGGTAGTTAAATCTTATTCTCTTACTGCAGAGAAGGGGATGAATAGCGATATCAAAAATACAAACAAGTGGACCCATGGAAAACCTTTCAGAATAAATTTTGCTTCATTGTTTCGAGTTGGATCTGATCGCAAATATAAAAGGTTTGTAGTTCTGTTCCCTAAAAAGTTCCACATCCTCATTAATTTTTTTCAGAAATCTGCAAAAATTGAATTGTCTGTTTGCTGCTAATAATATTTTCTCTTATACATTTAGATGTATCATCTGTTTGTCTTGTGTTGACTATATTTTCCATTGGTGATTACCTCTAAAAATTATTTAGCCTAATGTTACATTTAAACAAATGATGGAAAAAAGGTAGTTATAGCTGCCATAGATAGTTTTATAGTAATTTACAGCTTTCAGACTCCTTCACTTTTTTGTGATTAATTGTTGTTGGTTTTGAGGATGTAAGCAAATTTAAAGTGCAAAATATTGTAGTTTCTTGCATTTTTTCCGAAGTCCTTTCTTTATTAGTTTACGATAGTTTAATTTTTTTGTTTTTAGAACATTTTCTGTCATCTTTTGTGATAGCAGTCTTCATAGTCTAGGCGTTTTAGAAAGATTGTACTCTCTGGATAATTTGATATAGATTGCAAGAGTATTTTCTTTCTTGTATGAGTTTTCGTTGTAATATATGTGTTATCGTAAAAGGTAATGGAAGGTAGTAAGGTGGTGATTCTGTTAATGAAAGTGATTTAAGTGCAGTGAATCAGCAAGAGTTCTGTGTATGATATTGATGCATGAAGTATTATACATTTATGACTTTGCTCATTTATTCCTCAAACGAAATGCTGCAAAGTAGAGAGTGTTATAAGGATAATATCGTTCAATTCATTGTGTATAGCATTGTTTTAATTACAAATATTGTTGAAGTGCTTTTTTAGAAATAAAAGTTTTCAAGTCGAAGCTGTAATAATGTTTGCGGCATTTTCTTGATAAAAGATTCGTAGAATCTTTATAAGCTTGGTTCTAAGTTTATAACAAAGTGACTGGAATAGGAATGTACTTGCAAGCGATGAGATTTCAAAGTGCTGTTGCATCTTAAAACGTGTAACTATTAGTAGTGCAGTAGAATTTGCTGGCCAAAATAACGTATTAGTTATTAGAAGAATTAGCTCATCGCATGACCTTTTTAGTCGTCGTTACTTTGATATTGATCTTTGCCTATGATATAAATATTGTCTTATATTTAGTTTACTATCAGTTGATACATAAATTCAGATTTACTTCGAAAAGTTGAAGAAGTAACAGGGTAGTGTAGTTTGCGTTGTCAAATAATCTGAATTCTTTTGTTAGAATCTTTGTTTCGAATCAATCAAGAGTGGAGTAGTACTAGTATTGTTTACTCATCATATTGATAGCAGTAAAAGTTTAATGTTCGAATATCAGTATCAGTCTACTATAAGGACATGCATATTGTTTGTTCGTCAGTTGAAGTATTGATCAGTCTGCTAACTTGTTGCTTATTGACTGATGTAATAGGCGAATCAAATATGCCTAACTGGTTAGTACATTGTAATGTATGATACATCGATTTCGACTTTAGCCCAAAAAATGGTGCTATAGTAGTAGTGGTAGTCTGTCCACTACTACTGCCATGCTACAAGAAAGAAAGCGCATATTTACTGATTATTTATCCTTGATCATAAGTACAAAATTAATAATTTATCACAGTTCCACCTTATCTTTCATTTCACGAACAAAGTTCACCATCAGCTGTCATTCTTGTATGAAATTGATTAGTAGCTAACTTGCAAGATATAGGTCATGAATGGGAAGTTTCAACTTTGCACTGTATTTATTATGGCAAAGGGAATTATTTTCGATTTTCATTAAATGAGAGTATTATTTTTTGATTTTTGAGGTGATGCAATTGATTGCTGATTTTATTTTACACTTGTGATTTATTAAATTTAATTACTTGCTAGCTGTTTAGTTCTTTTATTTATTTGCGTTTTAATTATTTTGTTCTTAGTTTTTTAGTGCACATTAATCAGTGGTTCCATATAACAACTCTCATAGCAGTTGAGTGATGTGAGTTCTGTTCCGATGCCTACAGGAATTGCGTCAATAACAAAACTTTTTATTTCACCCCAGAGAGCACTTATTTTTTGCACCAAAGCTGCAAAAGTTTTCAGGCCCTTTTTTACAAAAGTATTCAATACTTTATGTTTCTGTTCAAGGTTTTTTTCCATTTTCTTTGTTTCTGATGTGTCAGAAAGATGATTTGTTTGTCTACAAAGGGTAATAAGACTGCTTTTGATTGCAGTTTGTGTGACTAATATCTTTACGAGTGTTGCACAAAATGTACTAATGACACATGAATTTTTTCCACCAATTCGCCGTATTCTTCCTACACCAAATAAGCAGACAGGTTGCTCTTTATAACTCATCAGAAATGATGGTGTGTTTAGGTATTATTGATCCCCCAATTAATTGATTTGTATCATTATTGTTCTGATAATTTTTTTTAGTAAACAGGTGATGAAAATTGAAATGCCTAATATTTTTGGTACTTAGAGCATTATAAGTATAATGATGCATTAGCTGGTGGATTGGTTGGTTGGGTAGATGCTTGATTGTTTGCTTGCCTCGTCGTATTTTACTTTCTTATTCATTTCTTTTCTGCTGATTTTTGGTTTGGACTACATCTTTCAAAATGCTTTTTCTTTGTTTTTGTTTTAATGTTTTCCCAATTTCTTACCAGACAAAATATTTTTGATTGAATAAATGTGGAATTTGAAATTTTTCGTCAGCAATCTCTTTTCAATATTTAAGTTGAAAGAAAAATGAAGCATTAGTACATTGTAGTTGTGCATGATTACTATTTGTGTTGTGGGACTTTGTTTTCACAACTGAAGCACTCTCTTTCCAAGAAGTTGCTGAAAATATGGTAATTTTTTGCTATAAATCTAACAAATATTGCCTCAAGATCCTGTATAAAACCCTTCTCATAATTATCTTTTAGATTAAAACAAGAACAATGTCTTTTTTTGTTTCTCTGAATTAATATATGAATGAGTCTTTCTGCAAGATCAGAGCTTTGCCATCTACTTTCAGCACTTATAATCTTTTTGTGCAATGCACTATGCGGGTGTTTTTCACATTTAATTTACATGAAATTTCGATTTAAATATTGGTTTATATTTTTGATGAAAAAATACAATCTTTTGGTGGTAGTTCAGGAGCAGTAGTGTAGTGGATATTGTGTTGCGAGAAAGCATTATAAAAATGAATGGAACAGATAATGATCAGCCATTAACTAATGCCACTGCTGGTTCTGTACCACATTTGGATTCCTGTTTCTTGCGTCATAGTTCAGCAAATGTAAACTGTCAGTCGCAGTGCATTTCTAGTAAAGGTGACGAAAGTACGTTATTTTTATTGTTTTTGGGAATGAAATGTTGATATTAGTTTTCAATTTTTTAGAAATTTTGCTGTAAAAGTTTTGTAGCTTTCGATTTGCATTATATAGTAAATCATTATTTTATTTATATATTACGTAATAAACAAGTCTTTGTTGTTCTTGTCTATATAATTATTAGGGGACAATTAGCGTTCTCCTGTCAGTTTTTGAGTAATTTTTTTGCTTTATAGACTGTTTATTGCCATTTAAGCGTCTTGAAAGTTATAATTTTAGTCTGCTAAACTCATATTCAGATAAAAATAATGTAAGCAGTGTGCAATATTATAAAACTGTTTATAACTTGTAATAAATAATTTAAATAAGATTTCCGGATTCTGTATCTTTTTTCTATAATCGTTAACGATCAGTCAGAAGTTTACAAAGATGAAGAAAGCATACTTATTTTAATTTTCCATAGTATTTGGTACTGTCAGTCGCAGTGGAATAGATTTTGAACACGCTATGCAAGATATCAATGACCAATGCTCAAGATCTGGTACATCAGGAAACTCTGACAACAATTCTACGCAAGTAGTGCGTCAACTTGTGCAACACAATGATTCTTTTGTTTCTTTTCGAAAATGTAGAGAATGTCCGCTTTGCTTTATTCGACAACCGCTGATGAATTTTCCTCGTATTTCGTGCTGCAATCATCGTTCATGTAAAAGCTGCCTTGTACAAGTGAGTTTTTAATGTAAAGTACATGTTTTATTATTTATGTTTTTGGAAAATATTGTGCTGATGTTAATCGCCTTACTATTTTTTTTTTTTTGACCAAGTTGTCTCTTGTACTGTTTTATACTTTTTATTGCATTGTTAGAAATGCGATTTGTTTATGTGGATAAAGATCTTATTTTTCTTTCAGTATTTGCAAGTAGAAATAATGGAAAGTAGGGTGCAATTGACGTGTCCAGAATGCAGTGAACTACTTCATCCAACTGATATTTATTCGCTGATGGAACATTGCCCTGAATTGATTGAAAAATATGAAACATTTGCACTACGACGCGTTTTAATGATGGATCCGGATGCTCGGTGGTGTCCAGCTCCTGATTGCACGTTGGTATTTCATGTAATTACCTTTTTTACATCTCAAAGAAAATTGAAAACTAGTGCTGGAATTTAAAATACCGAAAAACTTCACAATATTACATACTTAATATTGTCATTAATTTTTTAATTAAATAGGACTGTTATCGAAAAAAATATATGAATATTTAGCAGACCAGAAAAACATATATGACGGAAGTAATTGGTTCTTTAAAGCTGTCTTAGGATGAATTTATCAATCATTTAAAATCGCAAAATCATCACTAAAAATCATGTTGGTAAACTGTAGAAAAATTGTAAATGTGTATAAAATTATTTTTCGTAGTTGTATATTTTGCTTTATCTCTTATTTTTGAGTTCAAACGGTAAAATAAGCAACCACATATAGCGGAAGCTGATAAAATAGCTGCCGTATCAAATTCAGATATGCCGTAATTGCAACGTCTTGCGCTGCTTGTCCTGAGTTGCGTTGTGAACGACCTGGTTGTGGTGCATTATTTTGTTATCACTGTAAAGGACCGTGGCATGCTAGTCAAACATGCGATGAAGCTCGTAAGGCTCGAGGAGAAATATATCGAAGAGCAGCACCACAACTTATGAACTCTCAAGATAATATACTCAAACGTAATTCTTTTGTATTAACAACCAGCTTTGTGATGCAGTATTTTAGCAATTCTTTTACCAATGCAGCTGAGATTTTGCTATATTACTATCACATTTTGTCCATTAAAGGTATCTTTCAAAGGACAAAATGTGATTTCTAATTGATTGATGGAGGCGAAGACCAATCAATTAAAAAGTTGATGAAACTGTGAGATTGAAAACGAGATCTGTTGTTTAGTCATGATCAGTTTTTTCACTTTTACCTCGCGAATGCTTCTAGGTGGAGATATCAAAGCTTGTCCTCGATGTCGAACATATATTGTCAAGATGAATGATGGTTCTTGCAATCATATGGTCTGTGCAATGTGCAATGTTCAGTTCTGTTGGCTGTGTTTGCGAGAAATTAATGATTTGCATTACCTTAGGCAAGCAATCAACATTTTTTCATATCAGTAGTAAAAGTTGCTTCGCATTCCTGCATTTGAAGTAACATAACAAAAGACTGAAAGAACTGTAGATCTAATTTATATTTTTTCCAGTAAGAATATATTATAACTTCATAATTATTTAAATTATTTTTTCTTTATTCTCATCTTTGGGGTTTTTCCTTGAACTATGTTTTATTTTTCCAGTCCTACTGGTTGCACATTTTGGGGAAAGAAGCCTTGGACCAGAAAGAAGAAATTATTGTGTCAGATAGGAACATTAATTGGTGCTCCTGTTGGCATAGCATTAATTGCTGGGTTAGCAATTCCAGGCATAATTTTTGGAGTTCCTGTATTTGTTGGAAGGTATGTGTTTTTTTTTTCATTACGTAAATGTAAATGAGAGATTTAATGTAGTGAAACATTATTTTTGAATTATTTTAATCTATATTTGACTGCTCAATTTCCATTCATTTTACGGTCGTATGCTTCATTGTTTTATGTTGGATAATTTTTCATCAGTGTTAAGTATAGTAAAAGATTTTCTTCGTATTGTCATTTAAATCATAATCCATCTGAAAGAATTGAGAATCTTGATCATACATCAAAGCACTAGACTATAGGGAAAAAATTATTGCTACAATTTAGAAATAAGTTAATATCACAATATTCTCCACGTTATTGAAAGCATTTTCATACGTTTTTTCTTCCAGGAAAGTAAACCAGCGTTTTGCTCATTTAACGAAAATACGAAGACGTTGTTTGACAGTGGGAAGTGTTGTAGGTTCATTAGTTGTCAGTCCAGTTTTGGCAGTGATGGCTGTTGGTCAATTATTTTGTTTCTTTCATTATTTATAGTTGTCAACAATAAGCATTAAAGTCAAAGTTAACGTTGTGTCAAGAGAATATTGATCGGATTTTACGTAAAAATCTATTTTAGGTGTTGGGGTGCCCATTATGTTAGCATATGTTTATGGTGTCGTTCCATTATCGCTGTGTAGAAATGGTGGGTGCGGCGTTAGTAGTAGTTCGTCAAAGTTGGAACAAGATAATCTTGATGACTACGAAATTTGGCACGAAGTGAATAATCGTAAGTTTTGCAATTCTTGTCTTAGTAAAGTTTTAGCTTTTCATTTAATGGAGAACGAAATATGGTCTATTTGTTATTCTATTTGAAGGAAGTCGTGAAAAATCGCCTTTGCTAAACGATATTGAACGGCAAGATGGGACATCTGTTGTTACAAGAATGTCTCTTAATAGTGGTTTGTCGGGCGTACAGGCTGTACATAATCGTTTGCAAGTACAAGCCGAACTGTGTCGTCGAAGGCCAAGCATAGAATCAGGTGGGGTTAGCGTTCATATCTAAAATACATTGTTAACTCTGCTTGGTTATGCTTAATTCTGTATTTATTATCAGGAATCACTAGTTTGGGCGAAAAGTGTAATTATGAAGAAGCAAGTACAAAAGCCATGGCGGGTTCTCAATATAATGATGACAAGGTAAGAACTCAATTTTTTAATTGATTCTGGATTTCCTTTACATTTTACAATTGCTGCATAAAATATAATTTGATTTTGATTTTTATATTCATGATTCGGATGTGGATAACTAGAAGTATTTTGTTTTTCTAATAAAAAGTTTCAAAAATATATTTTAAGAAAGAACCAAAAGGAAACGTCATGAAATTTACAGAGTGTTCAAACATTGTGTTCGGGACAAGAAGCAATTAGTTATTGCGAAGAAGTTGCAAGTATTGTTGCTTTAGCGGGTTCCGTGGTTGATGCTAAATCACTCACAGATAGTGCGAGCGGACGTGTATTTGTGACTCAGATGTATTGTCGTGAAAGAGACCTGAGTCCATCATCGCAGCATGCCATTTCTTGTGATGACCCTACAAAATCAGGTAAATTTTAATTTTGTCTCTGAAGTTATTTACTGATTTGTTGAGATGACTAATTTTTTTCACTTTGTAAAATTAATAAAAATATAATGACGAACAGTTATTTCATTGATGTAGTATTCAGTTTTTTGGTTGCAATCATTTTTTAATCACGTTATTTCTTGCTTGTTTACTTTTCTTTTTGCTGCAGTATTATTAGTTTTAGGCAATATTTTATATATTGAATATGAAAAATCTTTAGAATATGTAGTGATAATACAAATTTTCGGAATTAACAGGTGATGAGCGCTCTTGTGAAAATCAGCAGCAGCATCGTCAGGAAGTCGCTGCTCTTATGCGGTATTTTTTTTCGTAGCTTGCGTGGGATAATTTGTCATATTCTAGTTTCGTTCAGCTTTCACAGATTGGACTGAGAAAAAAAATTTTAGAGAAGACACCGTCTCATATGAAGATACCTCCAAACGTCGTGGTCGTGCAGTAAGTTCAGTTTCTGCTGCTAATGTGGGTGTAACACTACTTCAGGTTTCGCATGGATCGTGCACCAATTCAAGATATGGGATTGTTGCTGCTAATGTTGCCAGTAATTTATTCCATGTTTAATTTTTGATGGAAGTATAGAAAGATTATATTGTTAAGATTTTCATTTGTGGATTCAATGTGCAAAAACTAAAATCACACAATAATACTCGCTTTTCTGACAGCATTTTTTCAGGTGGTGACTGCGAGCAAGCAGTGTTAATGTCTGGTGATGCAAGTAAGCGCTTAAAACAGTCATCTTCAGGTTCAGTCAAGGCTCACCAAGTAAGGGGATTCGCTGGTCTTAAATCATTTTTAATTTTTCCAAATCACACGAAAAAGATTTCTTCTTTATTTTTATCTCAAATGTTGTTGCCATACAGGTGCTCAGCTTGAAAATAAAATTTTTTTTTTTCTAATTAAATTCAAAGATTCCCATGTATTGAATGGGATGCGATTTGTACAGTGTTTTAAAAGTAATTGTTTATTATCTACAGGCTGTGTGGTCTACTCATTCAAGTGATTCAAGTAATGCAAAAGCTGATAGATTTCATATTCGTGCCCTCTTCGATACTATGAAAAGAATCGTTTCTGATGATGTAGCTGCAGAACCTAGTAGAGAGTAAGTGATCCGAATTTATTTTTTGAAGCATTTTAAATCGTACAGTCAACATCTACTTTTCTTTCGAAGTATATCACTAGTGATCAAGTTGTAGAAAGTAACTATTTCCACACGTTAGTTGTAATTCAGTGGTTTTTTTTAACGCGTTGATAATATGCTTACTAGTCTTGTGTAAATAAAAAGCATGATTAATATTTATTTCAGTTACCACCGTCCTGTGTTACGCCGTTCAGCTCAAGAAGATATCTCTCCCAACAGCAATGGTTAATTTTTAAATTTCGAATAACAGTAATTCACTGTTTGGGTTCATCATATAATGCTTTTTACTTTTGCATTAAAATTTGTTCTTGCATTTTGGAGTGCATACATACTAGGGCAGCAGTATATATGAATTGCGGAAGACCTTTTTTTGATATTGCTTGCACTCTGTTGAATGTTTTTGCATGAATGAAATTGCTTAAATGTATTTTATTCATGTATGAAATGAATTTAGGAGCTAAAATACCTGTTTAAAATGGACTACTTTATTATACATGATTATTCTTTATGTATCCAGTAGAATTTGTTTTTCTAGTTTGCAACTTGTGAAATTTTGTGGTATATACACAGTTTTCACTTTTTCAGATTCTCATCGACAAATTGGTGCTTGTTCGAACAAAACTGATCAACGTCTTCTTTCTTTAAATCCAGTTCATTCCACTGTTACAAATTACGTGAATTCCAGTGAACATAATGATGAAAATAATGCTTCAAAGCGGCGCTTTCTCTCAAATTTTTTCGTCAGACACTGATGCAATAACCATTTACTGATAAATTTTTCGTCAGCTAATGTTTTACAGAAGTTTCATCATTTTGTTTTAAGTAGTGTAAAAAATGTGGAGTTTTGTTATTTTTGCATTAACTGAGTATCCTACTCAGTCAGCAACTCTCTGTGTTTGTTGTTAAATGTTTTACGAATGCTGCATATAGTTGATATATTTCTCCTTCTGATGCATTTCATTTTATGTTCACTCTGAATGATAATTATCATTCGCTGTTTTGATATTTGTAATGCTAGAACACGAGACTTTAAGCTTTTCTGATTCCACCAACATTTTTTCTTCTGCAATACTGGTTTAGCTTTTCTCTCTGTTTTGTCTTTCATCATTTATGTTGAACAAAATTGGGGTTTGCTGTGGGAAGAGTTTCATTGTATGAAATGGATTAGAATTAAATCTTGTCAAGCAAAAGTTGTTACTCTGAATTTGGAAAGTGCTCTCGTTAAGAAGCATGAGATGTGTCTAGATATCAGATTTATTTAGCGGTTTTTATACAAGAAGCATTTGCTGGAAAGTTGCGTCAAGTAAACTGATTGGCTCAAGGAGAGAACAGAAATTTATTATCACATAGGTGCATGTACAGTTAAACTTGAAGTGAATTAGTTTACGTTATTACTTGTGAAGTCGTGGATCATGACATGTATGTCCTGACAAATTACTGATAACACTATATATAATTTATCTGCCTTTAGTACAGGCAGTTTTGTTGTGAGCGATGTTTTTAGAGCGGTAAAGTATTTTAGAAATAGGTGAAAAAAATATGACTTATAAAACGTGCATTGTAATAAATTGTTTTCCAATGTAGAATCATCTTGAACATTATTGTGTCGTCATTCTATTTACATTGCCGTGCAGAGGAACGATATTGTTTGTGAAACTCGTATGCTTTTGAGTTGAGATGACTTTTTTCAGCGCCTGATAACTGGAAGCAGAGTAATTTACTGAATTTTATTCGAAACCTGCTTGAAGTGATTTACTCAACCTGAGTAAGTTGTGGTTCTTTGCTTTCTAAATGTTAAATTCGAAAGATTGTGAGAGATAAAATATGACTTTTTAGTACATAACTGCATACTGGTCACTGAAATTTTTACTAAAGTGATTGTCAAGACCAAGTTTTGTTACGTAGATATCGTGAAATGATGTTTGACTCAGTAAAGTTTAGTGGTTCAACTTTTAACGAGAAGGGAATATGATATCTGGAAGAGGAGATGTTAGGTTTTGTTAACTGATATTGCATCTATTTCAGATTGTATTTGACGATTAGAAACATGGCTGAAGATGATTTGAAGCTTGTTTTAACAGGAAAAAAGAAGAAATCAAAGAAACCAATTTTATTAGACGATGAGCGAACCAAAGCAGATGAAAATGTTGCACCGGTTGTTGAGTCAGAGGAGCTAGTGTTAGGACCGAAAAAGAAGAAAAAGTTACCCAAAGTAACTGTTGATGAAGAGCAAGCTGTAAATGAGACACAGGCAGAGGTGGATAATGTCGGTCGTTCAAATCTAATTGACTCGAAAGGTCCTTGGCCTGATTACACATATGAACAATTATTGGAGCTGGTTTTCGGTATTATGCGTGAAAGAAATCCAGATTTGGCTGCAGGTGAAAATAAAAAGTTCATGATGAAGCCACCTCAGGTAGCGCGTGCTGGCAGTAAAAAGACGGCATTTGCTAATTTCTCTGAGATTTGTCGATTACTAAAGCGACAACCAAAGCATGTCTTGCAGTTTTTGTTAGCTGAGCTAGGTACGACTGGATCTATTGATGGCAACAGTTGCTTGATTGTTAAAGGACGTTTTCAGCAAAAGCATATTGAAAGTGTTCTGCGAAAGTATATTAAGGAATACGTTACTTGTCATACCTGTCGCTCATCAGAGACCGAATTAACTAAAGATACACGACTGTTTTTCCTAGAATGTAAGACTTGTGGTAGTCGATGTTCAGTGACTGCTATCAAAAGCGGATTTACTGCTATGGTCGGGAAACGTGCTGCATTACGACGAGCTGCTGAGGCAACTGCGGGTAAATAATATGCTACTGAATTCAGAAAGTAATACTTTGAAATCTTCCGCTTCACACTTATAACCGTCATGATTTGGTCAAATTTGTTCTACGAAATTACGAAAAAAATTACCAAGACATTTTCTTTGCTAAACCATTGTGCGTCATATTGGAATTCTTTCGGTTAAAGAAAATATGGAGATATTTTTCTTTTTTGTTTTTACGTCATTTACTGACTTGAACTTGTATGCATTCTGATGTTTTGTTGTTACTATTTCTGTAGTATGCTAATCTTTATTTTAAATAAACTCTGACATTGTTATCGTGTATCATTTTCAAACTGTGCATTAAAACCAAGCAGGAAGTCTTGTAATATCACATTGGCATTAATCATTCAGCAATCGAGAAGTATTATTCCTTAACTGTATTCCTTTATTCCCTCGAGTTGTTGAAAATTTTAACCTACTTCATAATTTGAGGGTCATTACTATAACGTATAGAACACTCTTTGTAACTGTAAACTTGGATTGAAGGCATTGGACATTCTTGGTGATCTTCGTAATATTCTGCATCATTAAATCTTACTCTCGGTATCTGTAAAGACTACAGAAGCTCTGAGTGTTGAGTATTTGGTTAGTTGTTTGTATTAAACATATCCACCATATTCCTCTGAATGTGGTGGGTATGTTTATTGGTCCAAAAACATCTTAAGAAACAAGTCAGGCATGGATTTCAAGTAGTTTGCGAGTTAGCAAAAGGGGAGATTTGTCTATTATGCTGGTTATTATTCTTTGCGGTGCTAACTCTTATTTTCAGTTCTGAGATTGATTATTTGATGATGGAACATCTGAAAATATCAGATTGGAGTGCTCTAGATAATTTAGAGAAGAAGATTTGTTCAAACTGTGGACGAAGACGGATGTATTTTTGTTACGATTGTAAACTGTATATTCCTGGTGTACAAAATATGGTTCCGCAATTAAAGGTTAGCTCTTTTTGTTTAAATTTCACGCAATTTTATTACGTTTTATGTCATAAAATAAAACTTAAATTGGAGAAAAAGCTCGCAAAAGTTGCAATATTCTTGTCAACTTTAAAAAAATTTTTTTTATCAAGCAAATGGCAAGTCTTGTGTGGTTCTATTTTTCAGCTACCTGTCCATATTGATATTATCAAACATCCGCAAGAAAAGAATAGTAAAAGCACCGCGTTGCATTGCCTTTTACTGGCTCCAACCTGTACTAGACTATTTGATTTAACCAATGTACCGAACTATAACTCCACTAAGTACAAACAGGAAAATACAGTGATTTTTTTTCTTCAGTTATAGAAACAGTTTTTTATGATTTCTGGAAAACTTATTTAATTACAATTTCGCTTGATAAATCTTAAATTATACTTTTTGAAGGCATTGGTAATTCAGTCAGAAAATGGCATTTCCGTGCACAGCTTTGTTAAGGAGCGCGGTTGTATCAAACGTTTTGTATTTCTTGATTCAACATGGTTCCAGGTTTGCTCACTTCTATTAAACTACTTTAACTTGAGGAAATTATCAAAATGTGATGTCTTTTTAACTCTCAAAAAGTTATGTAATTTTCTTCAATATTGTAGTCGACATTTTCATAACACGCAATGGAAATATTTTCGTTTTTTTCTCTACTTTCCAATCTTTGAATTTTATTTTCAGATTGGAAGACTGAAGTCACTCTCGAAAATTCAAAGTCTACCTGTTATCACGCTGCGATCCTACAAGACAAAATACTGGAGACCGCAGGTTTTATTTCCACTCTTTCCTTTCCTTGTATACTTTGATAATTTTCATGATTATAGTTACTTGTTGCATTGATGTGCGATTTCTTCTTATTAAAACTTTGTCTGTATCGAATTCAGACTTCTCAGAAATTGCAGTCGATAACTGTGCAACACATTATTTTTTATTGATAATAAGACAACATCAACGACATTCCTATCCGTTAGCCACTGACTATATCTTGATTTATATTTCTCATATACCGTTCAGAAATATTCATTGCCATTTTCAGCGTGGTTTGACGGAGTCACATCTCGCTACAATTGAAGCAATTTACTAC